TGACCCTGTGGAAGTCCTCACTGTTCTTACAGTAAAAATAAATAACGTTAAACTGTCTTGCAACAAATTAAGCTATACCAAAACTACAAACCTCTCCATATTGAAGAAGAAATTAGTTAATGCTTCACCCTCTTCTATGAATAATTACTGGTAGAGATTTTGGGAACTTGAAACCCACCCCTTAACCTAACCCAACCCTTTACAAATGTATATGCATAATACCTGGTCTCAGTTCACACACCCCAAAGCTTTCCTTAACTTAGTACTGATCCCTATCCTGGACTACACCAAAACAAACCCTTGAACAGTCCTCTTTTAGTGCTGGGACCATTTTTAGGCCACATCCACATGTGGGGTGTGAAATATATGTGTCTCCACAACCACAAATTAAAAATGAGTGCACGGATATAACATCTCAGCACTGCGCATGAGTATATGACGAGTAAGAGAGCATCCTAAAGGTTAGGCGGTTGGAGCGCTGAAAACTAGGCGTTGTCTGCTGAGCGATCACAAACCTTCCCACAAACACACCCTGCGTAAACCAGCCTGCCACTCCCAATGGCTCTCACTGATTTCACCATGAGTCATTCAATCATTGTGCACAGGTGACAAGTGTGTGCATGCAGCCGTCTACAGATACAGACCTGTTACTGTTTACCATCTAAACTCAAGGGAGTTTCCTGCAGGACTGGTTTTCTGTACACCGTGTTTTAACATTCTCCATCAAGAAGAACATCATACGAAAACAATTGAAACAAAAGATTTGTTCCTGAGAATTTGTCTTGAATTCTCTATATTACCGCAGTGGTAAACTGCTGTTTTAAGTTTAAACTTCAGCTAAGTTATATTAGATTTGAGCTTAAAACAAGGGAAACAAAAAAAAAAAAAAAAAATCTGGATATATTCTCTAAAAAAAACTTGTAAATATAAATGTCTTGTTTTAAGGATATTTTTTTTTTTTTTTTACTGGAAAACGTTCATATTTTTGTTTTTATTATTTGCCTGATAATTAACCCATAGATCGATGTAAATGTTCACAGTTGGTGTTGCTATTACAATTACAATTAATGTTCATTTCTGATATATTAACATTGTAATGCTTTATTAGCTGGTAGAGTTCTTACTAGGTCAAGAAAATATGATCATATAACACCAATTTTATCATCTCTACACTGGTTACCTATTAAATTCCGTATAAATTACAAAGTACTTCTACTGAACTATAAAGCCCTAAATGGTCTATCTCCTGTGTATTTAATTGACCTCCTATTGCCCTACAATCCATCACGTTCTTTAAGATCACTAAATTCGAGGCTTGTTTTAAGGATATTTTTTTCTTTTTTTTTTACTGGAAAACATTAATATTTTTTGTTTTTATTATTTGCCTGATAATTAACCAATAGATCGATGTAAATGTTCACAATTGGTGTTGCTATTACAATTACAATTAATGTTCATTTCTGATATATTAACATTGTAATGCTTTATTAGCTGGTTGTCCTGCATCCCCCCCCCCCCCCCCCCCAAAAAAAAAAGCAAAAAAAAAAAAAAGCCAATGCTACAGTTTGCACTACATTCTGCACTAACTACAGTTAGTGCAAAATGCAGCTGGTAGAGTTCTCACTAGGTCAAGAAAATATGATCATATAACACCAATTTTATCATCTCTACACTGTTACCTATTAAGTTCCGGATAAATCACAAAGTACTTCTACTAAACTATAAAGCCCTAAATGGTCTATCTCCTGTGTATTTAATGGACCTTCTATTGCCCTGGAATCCATTGCGTTCTTTAAGATCACTAAATTTGAGGCTTCTGGTTATTCCTAAGTCCACTAAAGGAGGGACTTAGCACCTAAACTCTGGAATAGCCTTCCTGATATTGTTCGAGGCTCAGACTCGCTGTCCCAGTTTAAAACTATTGAAGACGCATCTCTTTAGCCAAGCATGCACATAATGCTTACAATTTATTCATCTGTTGAATCAGATCGAAGGATCGACAGTAGCTATCCTAATTATTTCTTATTGTTTTTATAGCTGTTATCTCGGGATGCTAGTTCCAAGGAAAATGGCGTTTGTCAGCACCAGTTTATATCACAGAGACTTCAGATGCCCCAACACCTGCAATGAGACGACTAAACGCCTGTGGAGAGACGACTCGACGCCGGCGATATGTTATGCCCTAAATTAATACATGATTAACTAAATGTATTTTTCCATGTACATTTCTGTAAAGCTCCTTTGAAACAATATGTATTGTGAAAAGTGCTATACAAATACATTTGAATTGAATAGATGTATATGTGTCTAGTGTTTGACCTGCAGTGCATGTCATGGAAACCCCCTTTCTCTTTACTTCTCTCTCTTTGCAGATTTATGATGGTTCAGACAGTGCAGGCTTCATCTGAATGGAAGTCACATTCAGGATATTCTCTAAATGTGTGCAAAGAGACTTGCCATTCAGACCCTCTCTGCAGGGCCCCTGTAACCACCCTTGGAAATCCTTAACCTTCATATATACCTCTCAGTGAGACCCCCCGTCCTTTTAACATCTCTAAAAAAAAATCTGAATTCTAAATTTGATACTTCATGACATGATGATTTGAAATTTGTTTCTTTGTATTTTTCGAATTGAGACAAAGTCAGCAAGTGAGAGTGGGAGTGAGTAAGAGAGACAGATTGGCAGAACGAAAGAATAAATAGGTGTTGTCTCGCCCAATCACTTCTTTCTTTTCCCAGTCTGTTCCTACACCTCCTTAAAGCAAGCAGGCAAGTCATAACTTCACCATTTTCCAAAAAGCCCTATCTTTTCCACAGAAGCGCATTAGCTTTAACAGCCAAATAAAACACGATCAACTATTTTTCGGAAATAATTCTTTGTACAATTCCGTTTAAATCAATGTAAAACTATTTGCTGTTTAGTTGCGTAGTAGTAGGGCAAACCTTCAGACACGTTTCGTTTCACACATTTATGACCAACTTTTAATAAGCACATGCTAAGGTGTGAGTTCAGGTGCGATTACTAATGAAGAACACCTCTTCTGATCTTTAATGAAGTTAATTCCTGGATTTTCATAAGAACCACATCCTTGTGTGCGAAACGATCAGTTATTGTGATTTAAGAATGAGTGATCTCAGAATTATTTTGGAATGTATTTCAATTAAAGAGCATAAAACTGCTGATGTCAAAACATCCACGTGAGATACACATTTAAAATGACTGTAAATGAGCGGGTCATTTGCAAAAGCATGCCTGTGTCATGAACATACTGTATAAGCTAACTTTAATAGTGATGTAGGCCTATATGAGTATTTATAAAGGCATATTAGGACATATGTTTTTACATTGCTTTAAATCATCAAAATAAATTAAGCAATTTCATAAGTTATACAAGATTAAGCTGATTTTTAAGTCAGTTTCGTGTCATTCAAGTTGAAATGACTTAAATTTTCAAGTACAATCAACTTGGATGTTTAAGGCAACAACTTTTACAGTGGTAATAATATGTATGTATGTGTTTATGTACACATAAATACAAAAAAACTATTATTAATCTGTAATAAACAAATACATTTTCAAAATTGTCAGTCATTTTCTAAAAAAAAATAGATGTTTAAGTTTTAATGAGTTTTGAACTCCTGAAAACAAGTACATTTCTACTATTTTGCTATTTTATTACATTATTTGATATAGTTTGCTTATGTTTGTCAGTGGTTACATGAAATAGTCAACCCTGACTTTTACCATGATTCAGTACAGAAAAAAAAAAACGAATTACTGAAAACTACTGGGGAAAATATGTATAGAAATAAGCATTGGATTCACTTTTCATCAAGATATATTACACTGTCAATCCACTTTTTGAACGCGTATATATTCCAAGTTCCAACATATATTAAAATGCATTAATTTAGCTCAAGATTCACAATTCAAATAGCTATTTAATTTACTACATGCTTTGTATGATTACTTATTTTATTTTATTCATTTATTTTCTTTGAAATTAACCATGGTTTTGCTACACAGACCCTAATTCAACCATGGTATTTAGTAAAACTGTGTTCATTCAAATGATAACCAATCAGCCAAAAACAATAGCTACTACACCTTTACAATAAAACCATTAATTCCATGTGATGTTACTCATAGGACAGAGTTAAAGGAGTAGTTCACTTTAAACAAAAAAAAAAAAAAAAACTTTTGCTGATTATTTATGTCATCCAAGATGTCTTTCTATGATTCTTTCTTCAGTCGAAAAGAAATTAAGGTTTTTGATGAAAACATTCCAGGATTTTCTCCATGTAATGCACTTCATTGGGAACCAAACAGTTCAAGGTCCAAATGAGAGTTTCAGTGCAGCTTCAAAGGGCTTTAAACGACACCAGACGATGAATATGGGTCTTATCAAGCGAAACGATCTGTCATTTCAAAAATAAATACAAAAGTTTAAGTTTTATAAACACAAATGCTTGCCTATCTCTCTTCTGTGATGAGCGTTCGTGACTCTCCTGTTCAAAGGCTTTCATAAAAATGAACGAATCTTTTTTCGAGTCATGACTCAAAGGGTCGTAGATAAGACCCTTATTCATCGGCGTCGTTTAAAGCCCTTTGAAGCTGCACTGAAACTGTCTTTTGGACCTTGAACCATATGGTTCCCAATGAAGTCCATTATTTGGAGAAAATCCTGGAATCCTGGAAAATCTTCATTTCTTTTCAACTGAAGAAAGAAAGATGTGCACATCTTGGATGACATGGGGGTGAGTAAATTATCAGCAAAAGTTTTTTTAAAAATGAACTACTCCTTTAAGGATGGGTATTGTGGAGGTTTTAATAGGCTATTTCTCTGGAAGAGAACCACCCTTCATGATCAATGTAAAATAATTGTGAAAATTAAATAGGCCTATTCCCGCCCATCTCTCTCTCTCTCTCTCTCTCTCTCTCTCTCTCTCTCTCTCTCTCTCTCTCTCTCTCTCTCTCTCATATTCACACACATGCACAACACCCACGTTGTGACGTTAGGTCCTCCTTTTAAACGGCAAGGTGAGGGTGTGGGAGAAAGATTGAATAAGGATTTTATCTAAAGCGACTCGACCTCATTCACACTCTCGTTCATCAAACAGCATCATCAAACACATCTGCCTCAGCGGGATATAAAACTTTCCCATTAGCAGCTGCTGACAGCAGTGGATCTCAGGTGATCAGGAAATATCGTGTGTTCCTCCTGCCATGGCCCGGCGAATATCGCCTGCTGTCGCTTTTCTCTTTTGTTTTGGATTATCGGTAAGTTTGTCGTGTTTTAAAATATCTATCAACAGATATGCACGTTAACAGAGCTCAACTTTAGTCTCTATTTGGAAAGTTTTTTGTCAACCGAAACAATCGTAGGCTATGCGTCTCTCATAATACTGAAACTGTTTTTTTTTGTTTGTTTGTTTAGGTTATTTGTTTGGTAGCTTGTTTGAATAGCATACATTGATACTTTCGATATCTAAAGCAACCACAATTATGTTAATAAACTTAATGTGAAAAAGTCACATATTGAGCTCGTGTCTCACTTTTAACTCTTAAAAATCCGGAGGGGAATCGACTCAATTGTGCACCCCTTTACAAAAATTCACCATGGCAACGCATGTACAAAACAAAAAATGGCACTGTAAAAACATATTGTCATAACAACTATTTTCATCTATTGGCCTACGTGGTAGGCTAATATTCAAATGCCAATAAAATAAAGTGAACTTTGGTAAATTTTAGTGAATAAACCAAGGCAACAATTTAAGTTTATTAAATTAAACTTTATTATTATTATTAAACGTGTGTTTATTAAGTGTTTGTTTTTTTTTTTTTTTTTTAAATTAGGCACAATCGTAAGTGTTAATCAGTAAAGCCTACATGTTTAATAAAATAAGAGAGATTTAGATTTGTCAACATTGTTGTGGAGATCCCCAACTAACTTATTATGGTTTTACATTATAACCATAATGACAACTGTAGTGTTTTGCTGGAAACTTAAATGACGAAACCTCCACTATTTACCATTTGTAAAAGGCATTTCAGGACAGGCTCTATCTGGTATAGAGACATACAGACTAGTCAAGCTGGATCTGTACACGGTATTGTTCAGTGGTGGAATGTAACGAAGTACAAATACTTTGTATACTTTACTTAAGTACATTTTTCATGCATCTTTACTTTACTTAAGTAGAATAAATAGTGCATACTTTTTACTTTTACTTCGTTACATTTTGCAGCAATTATTATACTTTCTACTCCACTACATTTCTACAACTTCTGTTACATTTTCATTACATTTTCTGATCAGTTTTTCCCCTGCCAAAACGTAATCTGACCGTCCGTTCTTTGCACGTTTGTCTCACCAGTGACGTTTGGTTGCCATAGATGCATCAACAAAATGCGTCTCGCACGCAGTGTGTTTATCGTGCATTTTATACGCGAAATTTTGTTTTGCATAGGAAACACACCCTGTGTAATATGCGTTTGGTTAGGATTATGGCAAGCCAAGAGGTTCAGAATTACACCATAAATTAATCGCGTTTACTGCCAAACATAGTTATGAACATATAGTAAGCATGGTTTATATTGCCTAATTGCAAGCTTGTTTCAGAAATGGTGACAACAATTTTTTTTTCATCATTATTGAACATCATTATAGGAGTATGTTTGAGTTCAATGTTTCAGTTCATATTGTTTGTTTGTTTATTATTTTTTTTTTTTGTATTTTATTTAATTAGGGACATGAAGGGATTTATATAATGTTGTTCACTCAATAGACTACAAAAGGTATCACAGTACCGGAACTTCTATATTTTTAAGCTGTATAGGCTACCCTAACTTTTTTTCTTGCGTGCCGTAACTTCGAAACATCCGCCTGCATGTTCTATTGCAAATTCTATTGTATTTATTGTGGCAGGCTACATTTTAACTAACTTGTTGTAGAATTTATAATAAATAAACGTTTTAAATAGACGTTTTAAAAAAGAAATAAAAAGTTCAAATGTGAGCCATCAGTGGTCTACCTCGACTACCTGTAATAACATCCTTATTACAAGACCTACTTTTTCATGAGGCCAAGTAGGCTACATGTTAAAATCAAGAGCTTTGAAGTATGTACCTTCTTGAATTATTGACTTAACAATTGTTTTTCCTCATGTGTAAAATGTTTTCTGCTAATATGACAGATATGCCTGGGAAAATAAAAGATAATCCAATTAATGACTAACATGTTCAGCATAAGAAAATGTTAAGCAATGACTTCCCATGGCACTTTATAAACAAGTGATTGTCATCAACCAACTGCATGATGTGTGGGCCATTTTGCAAAGATAAAGCAAATAAATAAATAAACCTCATGAGGGAGCATTTCCTGGTACCCCGCAAAACGGTTCACACTTGAAACCCCCCATGTTCAAACCCAAACTACAGCCTTGCAAACGGAGACAACCAGTTCCCACCTCATGAAAAATATAGAGTAAATCACCTTTTGAAAGTAACTTGATCATGCTTCAAATAAAGATTTTATCGATTACATTGTTACACCAGTAGGTGGAGACAAGTGACTGTTAAAAAATGTACTTATCATTGAATCCTAGGATAGGATTGTGGGTTTTTGGTCACAATAATATTTGTATTTGGTCTAATACAAGTACAATCTAAAAGCAAATATCAAAATATTAATTTAAATGTGTGTGCACATGCTTTAGGTGTGTTGAAGTAATGACTTATGTGCATAATATTTCATATCAATTAACTTGTGGTTGATTGTTCCTGTATACAGACTGGATGACTTTAGTGTCAAACTATGCATGCAAGTTGCAACAACAGAGTTTTGATCATTTATGACGACGCATTTGTAATGAATCATTTACAAATCCTTCTAACGAGATCCTTCTTACCAGGAAGGGTGACAAATATATATATATATATATATATATATATATATATATATATAAAACTCTCTGTCTCCTTTCCAGTTGTGTGTGGGGAAAAAAAAAACTGAAAAGGTTGGCAGAAGAAAACCTGTTTTCAGAAATAGTTATTGTGCATTTGTGTTTTCCCACAGTATGTGTTTGAGGCCGAAGCCAGATTCCAACACTCTGCGGCCCTCCACAGGCAGAAGAGAGAATGGATCGTCCCTCCCCAAATCCTAGAAGAGAATATTGATTACACCAAGAGAGATTTCATTGCAAAAGTGAGTGAGCCTTTGCCTGCTGTCATTTGCTTGCGTAAACATTAATCGACGTACAAGCAAAGAAAATGCTCCATATGTCGACATTGTGTGCTAACAATGAGGAATACTTCTAAAGAATTTATTAATCTTAGTTAATGCTAATATCAGCAATTACTAAAAAATTATTTAATCAAAAACTGTGTCTGTTAGTACTATGGTAACACTTTCAAATAAGGTTTCATTTGTTAACATTAGTCAATTAATTAGTTAACATGATCATGAGAATTCCAACATTTAATACATAATAAAGTTATGTTAATATTATTTAATGGCCCTGAGCTAACATGAACAAAAAATGTACAGTTGAATTTTTATGAACTAACGTGAACAAAGATGAATAAAAAACTGTAAAAAGTAAAAGCTCATTGTAATTTAATGTTTGTAAATGCATTAACTAGTGTTAACTAATGGAACCTTACTGTATTATTTAATGTACCTGAGCTAACAATGAACAATTGCATTTTTATTTTTAACTCACGTCAAATGTTTTGCTCATTGTTAATGCATTTACAACTAATGGGATCTTATTGTAAAGTATCACCAAGAAATAAATCACAAGGCACCAGTTTTATTGGTCACCAAGTGAAAAATAAGACATCTTCTCATCTATTTGCCATTCAAATTCATGTTATGCATAAAAAATACACAGAGAATTACAATTTTAGCAGCTTATAAAATGGATGTCTGCAGTTTCATTATTTGTGAGATGTAATGTCCAAATGATAATAAATTACATCACAAATATAAAAAATGACTATTATGTGAGAAATATAGCCAAGATTATAACAATAAAGTCACCACATCACATGTGTGATATACATTGCAACAATTTCTTACGCATTCGATATTTGCAATGCTTAATTTCAATGTGTCAGTACACTGTGGGCTTGGTTGTTTTTTTAAAAGATGTATTTCTAATTTATTTAGATTCGCTCAGACAAGGAAGACACCCAAATAAAAAATTTGAGGTACTCCCTAAAGGGCGTCGGTGCAGACAAGGATCCGTTCAATTTATTTGTGGTGAATCCTGAAACAGGATTTGTAAGAGTAACGGGAATCCTCGACAGAGAGTCCATTGCACAATACAATGTAAGTAAAATGACCATGATGCCAATGGTGATTGATGATGATAAAATGTTGACTTTAATACCTATTCTTATTGATAAGAGTTAGTGATCTGTAAATGCATGTCTTCACTTCCATAGCTTACAGGGGTTGCTACGTTCACAAATGGCACAATTGCAGAGAATGACATTGGGCTAAGGATAAGAGTGAAGGATCAGAATGACAATCCTCCTGTTTTTGGTCCGATGACTGCAGGGGATGTATACGAACTCAGTGCAGTAGGTATGTGGCCTGCAGTTTTTCCAGCTTGAAAAAAAATGTGACTTTATTTATTCAATAAACACAACAGTGATTATGATCGGGGTTTGAAATGAAAATCCACCGTGGTCGGTACTGCATATCCACACACTAGCCAATAGGACGGGTTAGGGTTAATTATGTTATCAAGTTGCATTGCATCGCTATCCGAGCCCTTCCCCTCAAAGGATCCTCAAAAATGAGCAAAACAATGTTTCAAGAGGGAAACGTTTTTAACCACGTTTTTAAAAGTTGAACACACTGATTTTTATTGGGCATATGCATACCGACGGCAACACTCGCCATCTATCGAGAAGTTCATGGCACGTTGTTTCCTGACACACCGCTGGAGCCCTAGGAGACTTTTTATAACACGTTCTCATTATTGCCGCATGTGGAAAGTAGCGCCCTAGCGTCTTTATAGCTATACGTGCAGGTAAACTCAAGGCAATAAAAAAGTCACAGAGTTCTGTCTTCTGTGTTTATTTTTTTATTGTTTTATCCGCGAACAGTGATTGACTGTCATAAAGCTGAAAGCAATACAATGATTCAGAATCCGATTTAATTATAAATAGGCTATATTTAAATCTGGGACATTGATAATCTGGTTTATCTCTGATCATTTTGTTTTGACTAATAGAAGAATTAATTGATTTAATCTCAAACACTGGTTATAATAATTATCAAACTCTGGAAGTGTGTCAATAACTCCTATTTAAAATGTCATTTATTCATAAAGGGATTTTTGTTTCTTCACCGCTTGTTAATATAAGGTTTATTCAGGTTGTAAAATGTCATGTGGTGCCACTTCCCCCAAAAATATGAAATAATATTTAAGATATTTGTTAAATTATATAGTTATATATTTTTTCTTTTCATGAAAAAAAAGGTTGAAAAAAAACACAAAACATTTTATATATATATATATCCCTTTTCAATTGTAATTGTTTCATTGATATTTTGACTACAAGATGTTTACACAGTATTAGGACCCTATGAAACCAAAATGAATGCAAAGAGCACATTTCTAAGAACCTGTCTCATGCTTTAATCTAAAAGATATCTCCTTTTTATTGATCTCGGACACAGATACAGCAGTGATGAAGATCAATTGCTTTGATGCTGATGAGCCAGGAAACCTAAACTCTCAAATCAAGTATGAAATTGTGGAGCAGCAACCAGATGGGCAGAGCATGTTTAGAGTTGACAATGACGGGACAGTCCGTGTTAACAATCCTAATCTGGATAGAGAGGTGAGTGGTCACAATAACTGTATTGAAAATGTATGATATCCAACACGTCACATGATGTAACACACAGGCTCCATGTGTTTGCACTGCCACTTCTTCATTGACAGCCGTTGAGTTTTTGTCAGTGCCAGATAGGGTGACCACCTTATCAATCATCATATTACTAATTGATAATTAGAAATGACTAATTATTTTGCCTTTTTAAGAAAGCATTTTATTTATTATTTTTCCAGCATAGTTTTTTACCTATATTTAACAGCGCTTCGTCATTATTAAGTACAAATACAACAGCCGTTTTTTTTTTTTTTTTCAAATCTTATCCAACGTTTGAAAAGAAAGGAGTAAACACGGCCACTAGTAGGTTGTGACGGCTGTCAATCAAAATGTGGACCGGCGATTCGTTCCATGTGTTCCCTGTCAGAAAACAAATGGATAATTTGGTCAATTAAAATTTTTATTTAACAGAATTTATCTGTTGTTGTTTAACCTGTTGCCCGCTGTGTTTGTTTTAATTCACATCCTTTCTAAAAATATGAACGTTATAGGTTTTGGTTTTTAATATATTCTTTACATATAAGTCTATCTATCTAATTTCATGTTGTTTTGTATTTATTTGCTCATTGTTTATTTTGTAAAAAACTTGGTCAGAACTGTTTCTAAAATAGTTATCTGCATGATGCCTGATGCCTTTGGACTTTGAGTGACGTTGAATTTAATGATATTTAATTTAGTTTACAAAACTTAATTTAATGAAAATTTAATTTAAATGGCATGTAAAATAAAGTTGTTTTTTTCTTGAAGGGACTAAAGAACAAATAAGTTTTATCAGCTGAAAGGCAGAATACAAATGTTGTTGTTTTGGTTTTTTTAATATAGTTAGACATTATTTAACAGTTTCAGGGTATGTTTTAGTGTTGGTAACATGTCCCACATTGTTGACACAAACTTATAATCATCCCACATTTGATTTGTTTGATGGTGGTCACCCTAGTGCCAGATGTTCCACCCCACGTGGCCTGTTATTGTTTCCATTTTTAAATGATGAATGCAGGAACAAAAACAACAAAGACTGGTTTTGTTGAGGAGTATTGTAAATGATTCCACCTGTTTATTTACATACTTTCTCTCTCTTCAGACTATTGATCAGTATGTCCTGCTTGTCAAAGCGTCTGATCTGAATGGTGGCGCAGGCGGCAATGCCGCCACAGGGACAGTCACCATCAAGATCAACGACGTCAATGATAATGTGCCGACATTGGAGGGCCCAGTAAGAAAATATCTAAACTTTGTTAACATCCACAAGGTTTAAGTATATTGTTGTTGTGCTTGCAACTTACATTTTTTTCACTCCCCATAGTTTGAGGGCAGTATCGAGGAAAATACAGAGAACGTGGAGGTGATGAGATTCCAAGCAAAAGACCTGGATCTCGAGAACACAGACAACTGGACAGCCAATTGCTATATTGCATCAGGCAATGAGGCTGGATACTTCAGCATTAAAATGGACCCAAAGACCAATGAAGCAATCCTGATGCTTGACAAGGTGTGCAATGTTCCTTTTTCTAGTAGGGTTGTCTGGATACCAAAATATCAGTATTCATAGCAATGTTGGTCAAAAAATTCTCAATGCCAATTTCAATACCACATTAAAAACTGAATATTAACAAAGTAAAAACAAAATTCAGGAATTTTTCAAGTAAAAAAGTAACTATATTAAGTCATTATTCAAGTAAACAGTAAATATATAGGCCAGTTTCACTATTGTTGTTTAGTTGATAATATTGACATTGCATTTACACTGCAAGACCCAATACACAGATCCAGAATGTTTACATAGACTACGATTAACCTTTTGGGTCAGTATGATTTTTTTTTTTTTGCATTTAAAAATACATTAAAAATTGTAATATTGTGAAATATTATTCAAATTTAAAATAATTGTTTTGTAATGTAATTCATGCCTGTGATGCAAATGTAAATTGTCAGCATCATTACTCATCCTAATATGCTAATTTACTGCTCAAGAAACATTTCTTATTATTACCGATGTTGAAAACAGTTGTGGTGATAAATATTAATGTGGAAATCGTATTTTTTCTTGATCATTTAATGAAAGACAGTTCAAAAGAGCAGCATTTATTTAAAATATTAATCTTTTGTAACAGTTATAAATGTTACTTTTGATCAATTATGTGTGTATCCTTGCTGAATAAAAGCATAAACTTCTTTCAAAAATATATAACTGATCCCAGACTTTTGGATAGTAGTGTACTCTGGGTTTTTTTCCCCAAAAGGATTATATAACCATTCACATAACATATGAATGTAGAAACATAATCTACTGTTTACATGAATACATTGCAAAGATGAATATTTTGCTCAAGATTCGAAAATAGTCAGACATTGAGTCAGTACTTGGTATTATCAATCCAGAAGGGATACTTCTATTGTTAACTTGCTTTAAAAGTACTGATACGTTCAACATTTCTAATTATTTAGCACTTAATTCTAGCAGGCTCGCAGTCTTGCATGCTAACTCGTACACGCTAGCATTGGGCAGTTCTAAAGAAAATTATACTCTCAACCCTTTGCCTGAAGAAAGAATATTATGTCCATTTTCCCTGCAGGCTGTTGATTATGAGGACGTCAAAGACCTGAACCTTGGCATCGGTGTAGTCAACAAAGCTCCATTCTACTCCACTGTAACTGGAACACAACAAGGAGCAAATGTTCAGTTTGGGGGCAGCGGTGCAGGAGGAGGAGGAGGAGGAGGTGGTGGAGGAGGAGGAGGAGGAGGAGGAGGTGGAGGTGGTGGCAGCTGGACCAATTTGAGTGGCAGTGGAGGTGGAGGTGGAGGTGCAGGCAGCAGTTCAGGCGGTTCGCTCTACAACGTGAAGGTAAACGTGAAAAACCAACCGGAAGGACCCAAGTTTGTTCCCCAAACAAAAGCCATCCCCATATCAGAAGGCAAGACTTTTGACAGCAATGAGATCATCACGAGGTACCCGGCTATTGATTCAGACACAGGAAAGGAAGCTACCAACGTAAAGTACGTTTACATCAAAACAGTTTTATCAAAAGTTTTATAAATCAATGATAAATGAGCCTGAACTATGTTCACTTTTCCTATAGGTATATTAAGGCATCTGACCCAGATAACTGGCTGAGAATCGATGAGAAAACAGGGGCCGTTCGCCTGAACAAGGCTCCTGACCGCGAGTCCAAGTATCTAGTTAACGGCACCTACTACGCCACTGTTTACAGCGTAACTCAAGGCAAGTTCCAGGGAAAAGAGACATCTTTAAAAATCTTTGTTGTTTAATAAGGATGTGGATTTGCCAGCTGTTCTAATGTTTTAGTATTTATTCAACAAATGTGATTTGCAAAAATATATGAAAGTATTCTTAAAGAACTTATTGACAAATCACACTTGGGATTTGTGAATCACACACATAGACTGTAAAAAATATGGACACGTCACCCATACTCTCTGAAGAACGGGTTTGAGGATATTTATAGGGGTATGGGCGGCGCCATACTGGAAAATCTTGGGAAATACAGTTTCAGAAAGGATACAGTGTATGATGTGTTGTGTCAGATCATGGCCGAGACGTCAAATTGACTCGGTGCAGCCCGTTATCGGCTGTCAATCAAAGTTAACCACCCTTACTTGTCATACATTTTATATCTAAATATGATCTAAACTAATGAGTTAGAAAAAATTTCACAGTTGTCAGGCACGCGGAACATATTGAAGATTACAATAAAAGTCCATGGGACCAAACTGTAAACACATGAATTTATGCTGATGTCTATGGATATTTGCTCCCTTTTGGGACCGGCCACTAGCGGATTTGAGAAGTATAGCAGTTTTTCGCACTTCCGGGTAGGCTTCAACTTTCAGATTAGAATGTTGCCGCTTGATCATACGGTGTGGCATATAGTTTAATACAATGACCACATATTGCAGATACATAACATGTCCTGAAGATGGCGGCATCTCCACATTTATCAACAACAGTTACTGAGTCAGTGATGTTGTACTCTAACCATCTGCAAGTTATATTGTAAAATACCAATTCACATTACTTATATTTCATTTAATATAGCCATTTATTTTCTTATTTTTTGCTTTCTTTTGTCCTTTTTTGAAAAATGGACAACAGTTGTTCTTTCTCGAAAACATATTTAATTGTTATTATTATTTATCATAGTTTTATAATGTTTATATTGTTTTTAAAAATATGTATTTTTCTGTCTCTTATAGACTTGCCTTCTAAGACGGCAACGGGCACCGTTGCCATCCAGGTAGAGGATTTTAATGACCACTGCCCTACTTTGAAAAGCAAAGTCCAGACACTTTGCACTGACAAGGACGCGGTCTTAGTCACTGCAGTGGATGACGATGCACCACCCAATGGAGCTCCATTTACCTTCAATGTTGTCCCAGAAGGAACTAAGGGGAAATGGTCTATCGAGCATTTAAATGGTACATCTATCTATCTATCTATCTATCTATCTATCTATCTATCTATCTATCTATCTATCTATCTATCTATCTATCTATCTATCTATCTATCTATCTATCTATCTATCTATCTATCTAGTGTCACTGGGGAGTCTTTGTCTAATTTGTTATTTATTTTTTTATTTCGGTCCCACTTTATATTAAGTGGCTTTAAGTACTATGTACTTACATTAAACAATAGGTACAATGTTTTATTGTGTCCCTGTTGTATTGTAAAACACTTTTGCTGCTATTGAGGTGTGATATGGGTAAGGTTAGGGACAGGTGTGGTGGTATGAGTAGGTTTAAGGGTATGTTAAGGTGTGAGGGGAGGGTCAACTGTGTAATTACAAATGTAATTACATAAATTAATTATAGCTGTAATTACATGCTGGAATTTTAAAATGTAAGTACAATGTAAAAACATGTATGTACACAATAAGTCCATTGTATCAAATTATTAATTTCAATGTAATTACATAGTACTTAAAGCCACTTAATATAAAGTGGGACCTTTATTTCAACTATTTCTAACAAATAGTCTAAACTGTTTTTAGGTATTTTCTGTTGTAAGAAGTCGAACGTACTATTATTAAAGGAGTAGTTCTCTTGAAAATGAAAGTTAGCCCATAAGTTAGATTTACTCATCCTCAAGCCATCTTGATATATATTACTTTCTTTTTTCATATGCATACAATCAGAGTTATATTAATAAACACCCTGACACTTCCGAACTTCTTCTCCTCATCAGATACCACTGCCATCTTCAGGACCCAGGAAAAGCTGTGGCCGGGAGAACATGAGCTGACGGTGGAGGTTAAGGACCAGCAGGGGTTGGGATGTCCAGAACCTCAGAAAATAGTGGTGGAAGTGTGTACCTGTACAACCCAGGGGGGTTGTGACCGAACTGGAACGGGAACGGTTAAGAAGGGGTCAAAATTTGGAGCTGCTGGAATCGGCCTGCTCTTCCTTGGATTGCTTTCATTACTGCGTAAGTATCCAAGTTCACTGAAAGATTATGATTTATAGTTATTATGGTGCTGAAATAAATGCTGTATTTCTACTTTGTTACAGTCATCCCACTACTGTTGCTGTTCTGTCAGTGTGGAGCTGCTGGGATGCTAGGAGGTTTTAGAGACATGCCCTATGACACTAAAGAGCATCTCATCGCATACCATACTGAGGGCCAGGGAGAGGACAGGGTAAGAAATTTGATTTAAAGGGTTAGTTCACCCAAAAATGAAAATTAAGTCATTAATTACTCACCCCCACGCTATACCAACCCCGTAAGACCTTCGTTCATCTTCGGAACACAAATGAAGATATTTTTGATTAAAATTGAGAGCTGGATCTACATTGGCTCCCTAAGGGATTGAAACTTGACGGCCCAGAAAGTCATCGAAGAAAATGTTTAAATATTCCATGTGACTACAGTGGCTCAACTTTAAGTTTACCAAGCGAGGAGAACACTTTTTGTGCGAAAAAACAAACTAAACTTTCTGGGCCGTCAAGTTTCAATCCCTTATGTTGTTAGTGATGCAGCTCTCAAATTAAATCCAAAATATCTTCATCTGTGTTCCGAAGATGAACGAAGGTCTTACCGGGTTGGTACAGCGGGGGTGGATAATTTATGACTTAATTTTCATTTTTGGGTGAACTAACCCTTTTAAGAATCAGGATTGAGATTTTATTTTTGTCATAAAGCTAAATAAATCAAACAATTTTGTCTCTGACAGGATTTTCCTGATATGAATGTTCCGATGACTGGTGGTATGTCCAAAAATGTGGGTGGAATGCGTGGTCAAGGTGGTCAAGCAACAACAGGAGGCAACTTTGATTCCAATTCCATGGTTGGTGTTCGTGGCTACAATGAATTTAATATGGACTACGTAGACTCGATGAGGAGAAATGATTATAATATGGAAATGGCTGGCGATTTTGACGGAATGGCTGTGTCAGAAAGGTTCCTGGATGATTACTATGCACAGGTAATATATACCTTACAGTATAATGTGTATACTATCTATCTATCTATCTATCTGGATCACATACTGTATATGTTTTGCCCTGTGTTACAGAAAAGCAGAGGAATGGAGGATGGATTTGCTAAGAATGAACCCATGGTGTACGGTTATGAGGGCAAGGGCTCCCCTGTCGGCTCTGTCGGCTGCTGCAGCATTCTCGAAGAAAACAATGACCTAGAGTTTCTGAATGACCTGGGGCCAAAGTTCACCACACTCGCTGATATATGCGGAGGTAGGAAGACTGAGGTCTCCGCTCCTCTTCCTCCCCCGCCAAAACCCGTCGTGGATCGCACCGAGGTGGCGTCTTCATCAACCAATGTTATAAATACAGGGAATATAGCCACTAACCGAGATCTATCTACAAATTCAATGAACATAACTTCCAACATGGCTGCGACATCATCATCATCTCGTGTGGAGAACGTGCTTGTTACAGACAACCGGCCCACGGTGATTACGAGTGTCCAGCCGGCTCCAACGTACCTGATGCAACCGCAGCAGATGTACTACATGGTCGAGCCGCAGCCCAGCACGGTACTGCTCGCTGAAAGGCCCAACATAGGAGTCGGACAGAACATGTACGTGCTGAACAGCGGCCCAGTAGCCGAGGGGGTTGTAGTCCAAGGCACCAACATAGCGTCGAATACCCTGAATCGTGGTGAGAGAATGGTGCTTGTGGACAGGGGTGGTCCTGCTCAGGCTCTCAACACCGGAATGCTGCACACAAGTAATCTCTCTGGATCACAATTGATTCTGGTGGATGGGGGAGCCTCAAGCGGTCAAGTCCTTCAGGGGACACTTCAGAGAGGGCTAGCTGGATCTCAGGGCCTGCTGGTCATGGAAGGACAAGGGGGCCACGTGATTCAGGGGTCGCTCAAAAAAGGTGTTTCCACTCATGGTGGATCTCAAAATGTCTATTATATGGAGAATAAAGGGGGATCAGGTATGGCCCAGGGGGGTCATCAAATGGGCATGGCGTCCGCAACAGAGTCCTTTATTGGTAACGCTGGATTCGGTGGGTCATCTGTCCAGATTAACCAAAATCCATCGTCACATAAAGTTGTTGTCCAGGAGAGAAAGGTTACGACAACAAAAAGTATCAAGTAACAACACAACGCAACAGTCCTATAGTATGTGTACAGTTGAGAAAATGTTTTAGGGTTTAGAAAGCCGCTTGCATGCCAATCAGTAGAGTATCATGTTGTCAACAAGTTAGATCATGGAGAACATGCTAATTAATGCTTGAAAAACTGGTTTTAATGCCCTCGAGTTTTCTTCACTTTATTTGAAGTGCACTACACAATTTCTTATTTTTTCCCTCTTCTTTTATTTGCATATTTGTAATATGTTTCTGCACGTATGACTTTAGTGTATGTGTAATGTAAAGACTATTATTTGCCTATACTATGCAATTCTGGTTGCCCCGAGGCCATTCCAGTGTGGTTTATGCAAATCAGCTCAAAACTATTTTAGGAATGAGCAGACATACAGTCAGGAACCACCTATTAAATTCAGAAATCAGCCAAGACAGAAGGGTATGTTTTTTTTAGTATCCTGAAATGTTCAGTACTGTAAAAGACAATTCATAAATCCCTTATGGCATCAGGTGAACTACAATGTATGTTTTGGGAAGATGTTTATAGGATAGATCACAGTGTTTTTGAGATGGTACTCACTGCTGAACATGAAATCCAGGGGGAGGATTTCATTTTGCATTTTTACAATATTGTTCATTCCTCTTTTTATTCACTTGTAAACAAAAAATAAGTCTGATTAGCAAGTTCTGTTTAAAAGCTTGTGGTTTTCATTTGCAGTGCATTTAAATACCAAACACACATTCCAAGCAATACTGCATGTGTATGAAATTAATATTATGTATGAGTCTTACATTTGTAAAAAAAAAAAATAATAATAATAATAAAACATTTGTATTTAGCTATACAATAACTGAAGCACATTTCTTTTGAGCAGTAGCAGTAGTTAAATGATAAAAAAATAAAATAAAAATATATATATATATTAGATATACATATATTATATATTACAGTTGCGGTGCTGGGCTTCTTCTATTGACAGCTCTGGTTTGGTACCCAAAAATGGGCAGTGGGTTACAACTTTTCCCAGAAATGGACTCATAGCTGCATGGTGGGAAAATATGGAACTGGTTTCGACAGTGAAACATTTTTCAGGGGTCAGTAAAATATATTGTAAAGCAGCATAAGGCTGTTTAGAACTTTTTTTTTTTTAAATGGTCATTTTTTATAAATGTTTGAATATGTAAAAGACAACCAAAATACAATAAACCGTCATTTTTATGTCACCCAGTGTATGTTATATCTGTCCGTGGGCAAGATTCATGTAGAAAAACTGAACTGCACAAGTTTGATCTCAGCGAATTTAAGAGGCCAGTTTTGGTTTCAATTGGCGAGAACAACATACTGTATGGACACAGAGACAACTACTTGAAATATCCACGTTTTTTCGAACAAGCGTTTGGGTGATAAATATGGGTGCTGGTTTTGGAAAGTGTGCCACTCAAAAGAACTAAAACAAATCATATCAAATAATAAGACTGTGCTACAAATAATCCTTATCTGTCAGTTTGACTGAATGAGTGAAAAAAAAAAAAAGTTATCCATCAAAGAAATAAGGAATCACATGGTATTTTAATGTGACATTGATATCAAAGAATATCTGAGGCAAGTCCACTGCACTCTGTTCAGAATATTTTCTTTTTTCTTTGTATTCCACTGTAAAAATATTAAAAACATAACAGATACGACTCGCTTGTGGTCAGCTCTTCCAAGCCATTGGAAGACTTTAACCATTATTTTTTAAGCAACTGAAAAAAGCACAAATGTCAGGGCATGTCAAAACGTCTTCAGGGCCCCAAAATACCCTCCCAGAGGGTTAATGAACCATATCCAGATTTTTGTAGGCTATTTATTGACCATTTCCCATTAATTTGGCGGTCACTTTTGACCCCCGAAGACCATAAGTGTGACTTGTTTTTGTACAACCAGTTGGTCTCTTCAAATTATACCCTCAATGTTTTGTGTGTCCATATACTAAGTGCCATAAAAGTCACCAAGTTTTGTACTGTAATGGTTGCTCATAGACAAGGCAGAGAGAGAATCCAATTGTACGCACACTTTAATAAAAAATAAATAAAAATCCACAGGCAAAAACAGGAACATCCATGAAGTCATGATCCATGACAAGGACAAAATAACCACAAAACAACAACTAGCAAAGACCAATTAAAAGGCACAAGCTTAAAAACAGAGAAATCAATGATAATTAAAGACAGGTGTAACTAACAACGGTAACTATGACAACTAATAGACAACAACAACAACAAGGAGAGATAGAAAGAAAACAGGAAGAGAACAATGAGAACAGACAATACACTTCATAAAAGTCCATTCAATACAATAAACACAGCACTGAGATCATGACACGTACGAAGCTACGATTTAATTTTTTTAAAAAATGTTAAATTCATCAGCCGAATACCGCAAGAGGACTAGGGGGCGGCCTTCATGATTTTAGCAAGTTGGGTAATGTGGTTGAAAAACAACTGACTTTAACAAGTAAATAAATGTTTCAATAAAAATTCAATAAATTGTCAGTGGCTGGTAAATTCATAAGGAACTGCTAAAGCAAACAGGTTTGAACTGATGAGTAATCCAAGCGGTTCAAATCAAAGACAGACGACATTTTTAATTGCTTTTTCCATGGTAAAAATAAATGATATAAGGTGTGTTTCTTCTTCAGAATATATGTGATGCCTTAATTGACATTACGCACGTTAGGACACCAACACAACGGAAAAAAAAAAAAAATAATTAAAAAAAACCCTGCAGCTATTGTGAAGTAATAAACCTTTTATGTGGTTAACCCCTCCTGCTATTTCCTTAGAACTGGACTGATTGCCATGTTACAACATAGGGTTTTTAAAAATGTGAACGTTTTACTTTCGGTTTTATATATTTATTTCATTCATACATTTAATTCAAACTTTCAAAACACAACTTTTAAAGAACAATTCCACACGTTTCTTCTGATGTAACTTAGTAAAAATAGAAAAATAATTCATGTTTTTAAAGGGCTTTATACTGTTCTTTCTTTCCCTTTAGGCGGAACAGAGTTTCCTGTCTATCATAATTATCATGTCATTCCTCTCAACTTGCACAGGGTGAAAAAGAAATGCGATGAGGCTATACGTTTGGGGCGGGCCATTGGTTTGAGCCTTATATTTTTGTGTCGCAAAAGAACAGTGCACATCCAGTTTGAAAAGCTATTGACGACACTCTTGACATTGACGGATTTATTTTAGTTGTAAAAGATGCTCTATCAATTTTTGCTGGCTCCCACATTGCTGCTGCTTCTCACAGCGCAGGTATGTAAAAAGACATGGATGTAACCATTAAAAGATGTTTGTTTTTTGTTTGTTTTTTTTAAATTGAAAAGCATTGTTTTAATCAGTATTTCTGGTGACACTTTATTTGTTACACGTTACATGTACTAACTATAGTAACAACAATAAATTATGCATATTACATACAACTACTGTAACCCTAAACCAAACCTTAACCCTGACCCTAAGTGCATGTTGTTAATTTATATGTAACTAATATAATAATTAACACCATTAAAAGTGTATTTTTGTCCTGTTTTCCAAAAACAAAAACAAAAAAACAAAACCAGATACATTTGAGAAGAAATACTGCACTGTTAATATTTAACAAAAAAAAAGAAACAGAAATGTTGCTGTTAAAACCTAAAAATGCTTACATGAACCGTGCGCTAACTGTTAACTAACATTGACAAATGATAATAACTACTGTAACAAATGTATTGAGCATTGTTAATTAATGCATTAACTAATGGCCCTTTTTGTAAAATGTTACCAATAATATTATTTTTGACACATTATTTAAGACACAATACATCTATTGTAAAATATTGTAAAATATGCTTTTTTTAGTTTAAGTAGAAAAGTATGTATACTGAACATGTTTTTTATTTTTATTTTTTTGTATTTAACAAAGCAATTGTAAAATGTATACAGTAAATCCCTGTAAAAATGAATATGCTTTATCTGATCAAATAAATTGTGGCAACAGATTACAAGCAATATTATTAATTAAATTTAACAAATTAGAATTGAGTAATAATTGATCAAATTAAGTCCATAAAAGTTAATCTAAAAGTTAAACTTATACAACAACAACCAAAAAAACATGTAAGTCACCATTATGGTGATCGGTGTTTGTTTTAGGTTTGTTTTAAAATCATGGGTTTGTTCTGTTATGGTCTGACTCTGTTAGTGAGATATTTTTGTTAATTTTTTGGTGTAAACTTTACTTATTTTAAATGGTTAACTTTTAAGGAATAATTTGATTATTACTCAATTCTAATTTGTTAAATTTAATTAATAATATTGCTTGTAATCTGTTGCCACAATTCTATTGATTAGATAAAGCATATTCATTTTTACAGTGTACTTTATAAGGGAATGTAGCACTATTCTGTTTGATTTTATTTAAGTTACATTTAGTGATTTTGCAGTCTTTAGTATCATATAGGCTACAGTATCATCCATTTATTTTACAGTACAAACTGATTTTAATACCTCAAAAAGGTTGGTAACATAATATAAGAATTGGTATAGAAAATGTTTCACTTCGAAATTGGTAGAATCAGCAAGTAAAGTATTGAATTAAACATGAAATTTTCAAGAACTTAAATTGTATACATGTAAAACATAGAGTCATCTTTGTTGTATTTACAACTTCTAAAAATATTTGTTTAAGTGCATATACCAAAATGCTATTCCGTAATGACTGTAACATCACTGTTTTTATTATTATGATTTTTATGATTAAACCTATATGCCAATAAAGTAAGAAAAACAAAAATAATTCAAGCACAGCTGCAAGTCGCAATATCTTAATAGAATAAGTTATAATAGATATAATTATAATAATAATAGAAAATATATGTTGTTTGAAGGATGTTTAGATATTTTTACAGTAAAGACAAAAGCGCTAATTAAGAAAGTCATACTATTTTTTTTTTTTTCATTTGGAAGTCTGAAATAAATGAAACCTTGCATACAAAATATTAATATAACATTGAAAGTTCACTTGTAACTGTGTTCTTAGCATACAAAAGAGGTGAACATCTCTTATTTTACTACTTGCAAACACAAAGTTGCATTACTAAAAAAACTGCAAAAATCAGCTAAAAACAGGCCATAATTAAATAAATAAATAAAATGTTTTTTTTAAAAAAGTGCTATGGAGCAAATACTTTAGTGTTAAGGTTATGTGTTGTTGTAACCTAAATGTTATGTGTTAATGTTTTCTTTTTTAATTTCTTTTAACAGATCCTGAGCACAGGAGATTGCTGGAAAGTTCCACAGAAGCAGCGTCATAAAAGGGAATGGATTGTACCTAGCAAAAAGATTATAGAAAATGTGGACTACAGCAATGAGCCCTTCGTCAGCAGGGTAATAGAAACACCTTACTCTCCACTCCTTGCACATTCTGCATATTAGAATGCCGGCTTCAATAATAACATTCAGTTATTCAGGTTATAATCAAGTTTCACTGTATACTTACTCTGTAAATCTATTTCTTTCTTAAAAGATAAAACTGTTACAGTATTCAGCCAGTTGTAAGCACTTTCCACAAAAGGATCTACCTTTAATACAATAACTTTATTTTTTAGTGGAAAATAAAACTTTACAAACTAAATTATATGACCCGTTTTATTTTCAAATCATTTTCAATTAAGCTTGATACCAAAATTAAATTGGGACATGTACAATTATTTTACATTTTTGCTTATTTTTCAAGCAATACGCATTAAATCGACATACAAATTTCAGTAGACAAAATACAAAACAATATATATAATAATAAAAAAACAGGGTTAAAGTGTTGACAATGTAGTGTAGAAGTTATCACTCAGGAGGGATTAGCCAACTAATGCTGGTTGAATTTACTTTAAAACCTTTTTTGGTTACACTTTATTTTGATAGTCCAATTTAGACATTGTACTAATTACAACTCATATGACAAATGACTATCTGAGCTGTATGATGGTTTTGACATATTACAGTTCATAGAACAAAAAAAATTAATAAATTATGAAAACAGGGGGTTAAAGAAATTAAAAAAAAAATGAAATAAATTATTGTTTGATCATTATTTCTGCAGCATGGTGAATGCAGTCATGTTTGTTTATAAAGTTTGTGCACTAAAGTTTTTGAAAATTGAACTTTTACCATTAAACTTTAGATAATGCCATGGCGATACTTTTTGTGTTGCAATTTTTAGGAATTCAGCATTTTTGTAATGGGGTAAATTTTTGAACAGGACTTTATTAAGACACATTTTGGTTATTAAAAAGCAGTTAAGGAATAGTTCACTTTGAAATACATTTTTGGTATGTTTTAGCTTACCTCAAGGGCATCCAAGATGCAGGCGTCTTTGTTTCCGCCGTAGTTTCAATTTTCAACCGTTCTTGTCTGTCAGTCATAATGCAGGTCTATGGTCACCACCTCAAAGAGCATGCACAGAGAAGTCCAAATTAAACACGATTTAATGAATCGAAAAGTACACAATGATGGCACGAAATTAATGGTTTGTGTGAGAAAACGAACAGTAGTTATATCATTTTTACCTCTTGTAACCACAGGGTTACAAGAGGTAAAAATTATATAAATACTGTTCCACAGCCACATCAAGCTGTCAACCCTCCCGTTTTTTCCACTGTTTTCCCGCTGTCTTCCCGTTTTAGTATTTTCCCGTAAAATTTCCCGTTAAATATCCCGTATTTTTACACTCTGATTGTGTGAGACATTCACGCTCGGACAGATTCGGCTTGAAGTCGTTCATCCTCAGCGGCGCCGCACGCGCTATTAGGCCGGAGACGAGACACACTGGCTGCGTGGCGTGTCCGTTTTTATTTCGGCTCCCATGTTAACAGATTAGGGATTGCACACTGCCTGCGTGACACGCACGTCTCAGGCAAAACGAGGGCATATTAGAAATGGAACCGACGCCTATATTTTTCACGCGACGCGCGTGTTTTGGAAGCGTTTTCAGGCTGAATAAATAAATAAATGAAAAATAGGAAACGATGTTTATGTCATTTTGTACACAAATGCATATTAATAAATTATATTTTGATGTTTGAAAGTCTGGGTTTTGACATAAATTCAGGATAGGCTACAATAACAACATAGTGTGTCTTCTGAGTGACACCGGTTCACCATCAGGCTAAATGTAGGCTCTTTAAAGCTACACAAAAACAAAATGTTATTGAAATAGACAGCCCACTTCCCATTTTTGGGGGGATTTTGGAAGATAGAAGTTGAAATTGTTGTCGTGAAGGAAAGAGCAACACACCGCTAATCCAAATGTAGATTTTTTTTTTATTTAAACTACACACTGTCTCTTTCTCTCTCACACATATGTTGGCTAGTTATAATTTTAATGATTGGTGGTTTATTTTTAAAGTTTGTGGGTAAGAATCGTGTAAAAAAAAAAAAAAAAATCCCTTATTATGTCGATGGATTCCAGGAACGGGCGCTTCGGTCTGCTCAAGCATCGGAAGTGATCTCTTTCGCGGTAGCAGAAAAAATTCAACTTTGTCTGTTGATAGATCGAAATCGTAATTAAATTGGACTTCTCTGTGCGTGCTCTTGTAGACCTTATATGTCTGACAGACAAGAACGGTTTGACCTAAAAATATCAAAATTGAAAATACTGTGTAAACAAAAGACACCTACATCTTGGATGCCCTTGAGGTATTGAATTGTAATTTTTAAACTTTCTAGAATTTAAGATCATTTACACTCATCAATAGTGACAGTATTCTAACCTGTATTATTGCAATATGATTTTTCTCAGATGAGATCAGACTTGGACGAGAAAGTGCCGCTACGCTACACTTTAAGGGGCCCAGGAGCTGACGAGCCCCCAGTTGGTCAATTCATAGTAAACGAGTTCAAAGGGTTTGTTCGCGTCATACGGCCTCTGGATCGTGAGGAGAGAGAAAACTACACAGTGAGGATAATGAACACACAATATTTAAGATACAAAGTATATATATATATATATATATATAGTACACAGCCATGTGTTATGCTGTAGACCAGAACTAGCTGTCACAAGGGCTATATCTCAGTAACTTTCAAAACAAAACAAGGTTTTAAGTCAAAACTTGATTTAAAAAACAGATTTGTGAGGCACTGTATGTTGTTTTCAGATATCTAGCTCAAAACTCTCTCTGAATACTCAATGGTAAAATTACAATATCATCACATTTTTGCTTTAGTTGTTAAAAAAAGTTGCCCTTGGTTTCTGATCAATTCCAGACAGCCAAGATTTTTTTGTTGTAGTTGTTGTTTTTTCATAAACAAAGTCATATTGTCATAGCCTTGTTTTATTTTTATCTTGTAGCTTATTGGCACTGCATGGTTCTTTAACAACACCATAGCTGAAGATAATATTAAAGTAAACATCGCCGTGGAGGACCAGAATGATAACCCACCAGTTTTCAACAAGCCAGAACGAAGCAGAGTTTATGAGGGGTGTGCAGTTGGTGAGCATTGGTGAACAATGACATTGTCAACTATTGTCTGATTTTCTACAATTAGGGATGACCAATCCTTCACCTTTATATATATATATTTGTGTTCTTTCCAGGAACTTTTGTAACGCAGGTTGTGGCAAAAGATGCAGATAAGGCATACACTCGCCACAGTGAAATAGCATACACCTTAATCAAACAAGAGCCGAATGATGGCCAGCTATTCTTTGCTGTGGATAAAGACAATGGAACAATCTCTGTGAACAACCCATCACTCGACAGAGAGGTATTTGCTTCCAGATATACTGGTACTTAATCTACTTATGTGTGATTATGGGTCATTTTCTTTTGCCAAAGATGCAAGATGGATTAATTTCCCATTCTGTTAAACAGGAACACAGCTTTTATGTTCTTACGGTGCAAGCTGCTGACATGTATGGAAGTGCTGGAGGAAATTCTGCAACAGCTTCTTTAACTATAGACATCCTGGATGTTAATGACAATATTCCTACTTTGGAGAAGGATGAGGTGACTATGCATTTACTAATATAAATAGTCAGGAGGTCACAATTCTGACATTAAATGGTGTTGTTTTCTTCATACCCTTGTGAGCAATGCACTTGCTCTTAAATGCACTTAAATGCATTTAATGTGCACTTGTAGTGTAGCCTACTTCAAACCTTTCTAGTATATTTAAAACAAACTGTACATGGAGATAAAATATTAATAAAATAAACTGCCACTTAAGTGTATATAAATCATTCGGCACTAACTATATTTCAAAGACAATTCATTGTTAAAAGTGACACCCTCGTACACTTGCACCAGAAGGGCAAAATCAGGTTCACTTTCGTATGGGGAACTCCTACGTCGGAAGAGTTTCCAACGAATGGGCTATATGCACGCATAAGTTCCGCATATGACGCAAGGATGCTCGTCCATTTCCGGTTGTGGAGATTAAAGCGGAGGAAAGCGGGATTATGGCAGAGTCTTCAAAATTTACTATACTCCCGTCTTTGAAATGAAACGTACATACACTTAGATGTAATTTTATATATAGTTATGTTTATTTCATATAATTTTAAAAAGAAGCATAAACACAACGAGGGGTGTCTGTTTTATCTGTTTTTGTGACTAACGTTTCATTAGGATAACCATGGAGTATAAAATTCAATATAAATTCTCGGTTTTGCATTGGACTCTACGATCGGCGGAAGTTATCAAGCATCCTTACACCTTTCACCGGAAATACCGCCGTGCATAGAGCCCATTGGGATCACGGTGGGGAGACCAACTGCCTTCGAGTGAATTAAAACGAGCCAATGAATATTGGCGTGTGGGATTTCCATTCCGCGTCCCGCCTACCAATATGGGTATAAAGTGGAAGCAAACACACACACATTTGGCTTTTAGCTTCGAAGCCTGCTGGTTGTGTCCTCTGAGTGGATTAACAATTTATCTTCACTCTCAATGAGTTTGCTGTTTTCTCCGAGACCTCTCTGTGTTGGTGTGACGGTGCTTCAGCGATCTTCACGATCTCCTGGGGATCTGCTGTTTTTTTTTTGTTTGTTTTTTTCAAAGAGTTGTTGTCACGGCTGGTAATCAATCACTTGCAGTTTCCCCGCTGTGTTGCCACGTTATCCCTGTGTGCTTCAGCACAATAAGATAGCATTTTCTGTGAAAAGAGCAACGGGTGAAGATTGTGTCCTTTTCAGGATGAAGTTTCACCCTTGTGTTTCTGGATGCCGCCGTTTCCTGTCCTCATTTGACGGCCACGATCACTGTTTCATGTGCCTTGGCAAGCATGATGAGACTGCGTTCGTGGGTGGTTTATGTTCTCTCATGAGAGCTTGACCACGTCGGCACTTTGTTCGTCTCCCCATTCTCGTAAAGGCTTGAGCCGCTCAGCGCGCCGTGTGCCGTCGGTGCATTTTTTTTTTATATGCTTAACCATCTAGCGCATTGCTTTCATATTCTAAAATGTACTCCTCTTTCTCAAAGGTATTCCTCTTAGACTTTTCATTATTAACTTTAGTATAAGTCTTATATTAAAGTTAATAATGAAAAGTCTAACATGTCCTTATACTATAAGAACTAATAATAGATGGTAATGGAAAAGAGTGAGAACTGTTTTTTTTCTGGTTTTATAGTTTTCCGCAAGTATTGATGAGAATGTGGCACCCATTGAGGTTTTAAGGATCCAGGCACTGGACCACGATGAAGATTGGACAGACAATTGGTTGGCCGTATTTGAAATAGTGTCTGGAAACGAGGATGGACGTTTCGCTATTGAAACTGATCCGAAGACAAATATGGGTATTTTGTACCTGAACAAGGTCAGTGCTTATTTTGTACACAGTGTGCTCTTTTAGTGTGATGTACACATCCCTTGTTATGTACATATATATTTATTACATGAGCCGTATTGAGTAACCAAATGCATTTTTTTTCTGGTAGCACTTAATTTAATAGTCCTGTTCCCCATGTAGGCTAGATACTATGTACTTATTAAAGTAATTACAATAACTGGGTAATAACTAGGTACTAACCCTGAACCTACCCCTAAACCTAAACTTAAACTATGCACTAACCTTAGCCAGTACTTTCTTAGGTAAGAACACTGTAAGTGCATGTACTGTAGTGTAAAATAAAGTGCAACCCTTTTTCTCTCCTTTAGCCTGCAGACTTTGAGTCAGCATCTGATATGAACCTGAACCTAGCTGTTAAAAACAAAGCGTATCCAGGAGCACCGCTAGGGAGTGGATCAGGAGCCAGTGGTCAATCTGGAGCTTCTGGAGCCAGTGGTCAATCTGTGGCTTTTGGAGGCAGTGGTCAATCTGGAGCTTCAGGAGGCAGTGGTCAATCTGGAGCTTCAGGAGGCAGTGGTCAATCTGGAACTTCTGGAGGCAGTGGTCAATCTGGAGCTTCAGGAGGCAGTAGTCAATCTGGAACTTTTGGAGGCAGTGGTCAAACTGTGTTTTTTTCCAGCGTGTCCAAACAAAAGCCATACTCAGTGAAGATCAGTGTGAAAAACAAACCAGAACCCCCAAAGTTCCGTCCAAAGGTCAAGCCTATATCTGTATCTGAAAACACCAAAGGTTCTATTTCAAAAGTAATTGACATCTACCCTGCTGTAGAAGAGGGCACAGGGAAACCAGCAGAAAATGTCAAGTGAGTGTTCTTCAAGATATTATTGTTAAAACAACAAAAGTTTAAAGATTTTACCGTATATCAACAAAAATAACTGGTTAAATATGCAGGACAGTGCCTGTCCTACACTTCTTTGGGCCCTAAGCAAAACTTTGAGAATGGGGGGCCCTATTGAAACACGATAATGTCATTGGCAAGCGATAGTCTGAGACGTCACTGCTGGTGCTACCATGAGTATAAAAGGGTGCCTGTTACGGAGTGTGCCCGAAGCCAAATACCTTATTCGGGAAAGGCACAGATAATGGCTTCAAAAGAAATAACAAATAATTCTGCTTAATAATATTCCGTTGAGGCTGAAATAGTCACTCCTCGTGTTTGTTGGATAAAAAGTAAGTCAGAGGAAAGCACAATATTAACCTCCAAATTCAATACACAATAATGAGTATGTGAACTGAATGAAATGAAATGAAACGTAATGAGCGCAAATCAACATGCTGTGTTGCTGTTGCCTCTCCGTGTGTTTCTCTAAAATCAGAGCTTGGCAAGAGTAAATCAACTAAAATACTAATCATACATGACGTTGTACTAAATTATATGTATATTTAAATTATCTAAATGGAGTAAGCACAGCAAGATCCCCAGTAGACAGATACAGAAGTAGTTGAGGCGGTCACAGATAAAGATACAAACACAAAATAATACCCACACAGGGAATGCGTGCTCTAACAGCTTAGACTCAATAGAACTAGCTACCGGAGTCACTATTCCCATTCTATAGGTATGCACCAGAGGCCGTAGGTTACATTATTCCATACGGCCATAGCCCAAGCTGCACGCACACTTACAAGGGAAGTCCCGGCTTACATTCTTTCTGTCTTCCTTGAAGAGCCGAGTAGAGCTCTAGCTCAAGGACTTGGTATTAAATATTATGAATACCTAAAGGGAATATGTCCAATGATTAATAGAATATAAATTCTGGCCTGTCACTTCTAGGGGATGTAAAGTATCCAATCTACCCCTAATACACCACCAGGGAGGCTAAATTTGCTAACTCAGCAGTGAAGCCCTTCCACCCATTTGCACACAACACCTCCCTATAAGGAGGCCTCCAATGAGAAGGAATTTGTAGCAGGCAATAACCTTTCACACCGGATTCTATAGACAGGGATCGGGAGTAGATAGTCTACATAACAACCCTCTGAGCGAAGGGGAGAATTCTAGCTCAACCATTAACTGCTGGTGTGCACTGCAGATGCTTTAAAGGAGTAGTTCACTTTTAAAAAAACTTTTGCTGATAATTTACTCACCCCCATGTCATCCAAGATGTCCATGTCTTTCTTTCCTCAGTCGAAAAGAAATTTAGGTTTTTGATGAAAACATTCCAGGATTTTTCTCCATATAATGGACTTCAATGGGAACCGGATGGTTCAAGGTCCAAAAGACAGTTAATAACAGTTTCAGATGTAGCTTCAAATGTCTTTAAACGATATCAGACGATGAATAAGGGTCTTATCATGCGAAACGATCGGTTATTTCAAATCTAAGGACAAATGCTAGCCTTGCTCTATTCTGTGAGGCGCGTTTGCAACGTCACGTATTACGTAATTACGTTCAGAAGGTCACGGGCGATGTAGCCGAAAGTACAGAGTCAGTGTTTACAAGTTGAACGCATAGGTTGAACGTGCAAACTAACTCAAACACCGTTTACAAAAAAAGGAATTAAAAGGAAAAACAACGATGTCGGACGATTTTGATTCTGTACTTCCGGCTACGTCGCTTTGACAACTTTTGAACGTAATTACGTATTACGTGACGTTACAAACGCGCCTCAGAGAATATAGCAAGGCTAGCATTTGTCCTTAGAAAAGTTACATTTTTGGAATAAGTTTTGAAATAACCGATCGTTTCGCATGATAAGACCCTTATTCATCGTCTGGTGTCGTTTAAAGACATTTGAAGCTGCATCTGAAACTGTTATCAACACTGTCTTTTGGACCTTGAACCATCCGGTTCCCATTGAAGTCCATTATATGGAGAAAAATCCTGGAATGTTTTCATCAAAAACCTAAATTTCTTTTCGACTGAGGAAAGAAAGACATGGACATCTTGGATGACATGGGGGTGAGTAAATTATCAGCAAAAGTTTTTTCAAAAGTGAACTACTCCTTTAACATGAAGTCCATCTAGAATGAGGGGAGGACTACACTCTGTCCACAAACAATTCTCCAAGGAGGCTCAGAGAGAGCCATACACACTGGAATCATCAGAGACCTTAGCAGGATGACTGTTTAGAGTCAGATGAGACATAGAAACACTCTACCGTAAAGACAGTTTCACCAAGGAGGCTCACGGAGAGCCATATGCATTTCGTGCTACTGTCTAGACTGAGCTTGAAGGCCTCAGTATGATGATCCTCTAGAACGAGAGGAGGCCCAACTAAAGTACACTCTACAGTAAAGATAGCCTAACCAAGGAAGCTCACAAAGAGCCAAACTCTATGTCGCTATCTAAGCGAAGCTCTGGGGAGCTGAGGCTTCAGCTGGACTACGCTCTAGAGTGAGAGGAGGCCTAGCCTACACTCTACCCTAAAGCTAGCTTTTTTTCTGTCAGATTTACCTGAAGTTGGCTTAAGCCTAGTTCACACTACGTGATTTTAAGCCCGATTTAAGCCCGATTTGCAAATCGTTGAGTCGCCGACAAGTCAGGGTGTTATCGCGTGCAAATCGCGGGCGATTAGCGGACGATTAACGCTCGCCAATCCGTTAGTGTGAAAGAGCCAACAACGCATCAAAGACAGCTCGCAGACAGGTCACCGAGCTCAGAAAAATATCTAGCCTGCTAGATATCTCGAGCAGTCGCGCGACTCAATCTCAGTGATGTCATGAGTACAGCCAATCATAGCAACGCATGGGTTGAGGACACCAGGTAAATCTTACTTTTTCTTTTTTGCATTTTTTTTCTCAGAGCAGATCGTCGAGCAAACAGTGTGCAGCACTAGTTTCTGTCTGACGTCCATATTCGCGTGTTATGTTCTTCTCTGTAGTTTCGCGTCATTTCTGGTTCGTTTTATTGCGTGGTTTTTCGTTACAAAACATGGTTTCTAGACCAGATAGAATCGTGTTGTTGTCAACTCGTTATTTGTTTGATTATTTTCAGGATTTAGACCGTACTATAGTACTGAAACAGCTCTCATTGAGTCACAAATGATATGCTCTTATCATCCGATCGTGGTTTTATCTCTATGTAGTGCGTTGTTAACTCGTGTAGTGAGTTACCTCCTGTTGTGGATCAATCACGTTGTGTTGTGTGGTGTGAACAGCTAAACAACTTGAACACTCATGATTTCACTGAGAGCAAGTCATGTAATGTGAACTGCACAGTTCAGCCCAACATTTTAAAATCATGTAGTGTGAACTAGGCTTTAGGTGGGGGTGGGTTCTGCTCTACAAGAGAAGAGCACCTCACACTGAGCACATTCAGCCCCAGAATTGAATGCACATGCTCCTTACCCAAACATATAAGTCACAAGACGAATGTCCTCAAGTGTCAATATGGTCATATTTCTGAAAACATACTTTCTGAAATACTTGGCTGAGTATATTCCATAGTGATTGCCTTCACTCGTATCCAAACAAATGGATCCAGAAGTTAAAAGAAATTGATGACATGTACTACAGGCGCCCTCTTATACTCGCTTTCTCACCGTGACTTGTCGGGCTGTTGCCAACCAATGACATTGTTGCGTTTAGACGCATGCTTCAGACAGGGGTGTTCCCTGTAGCATCCTAGGATGCAGTGCGAGTGCCCATTTGAAAGGGAACTACACAGCTGAAATCATTTTCCAAATGCTTGATTTACTAGTGAAACTAAAACACGATAACTATAGCTTACGGAAGCTAAAGTAAACAAAAAATACATTTATAATTCTCTAACTTTAGAATAATGGGCATTGTTTTTAAAGCACTTGACAGACTCACAGGACAGCTTGCATAACTGAACAGGAATGAGTTCAATTTCTTAAACGTTAAACCACGCACAAAAATATTTTGATTATTGATTTATACTGACACAAACTGTAAATTAGATTTTATCATGGTGCATTTCTAATGGAGAAAAGTTGACTCAGTTGGGCAAAGATGCATCATACATTAAAATAAAATACCTTAATTTTAAGTGTATCAAAATAAACTATAAAAAAACAGCGCCCACACCATGTATCGAAATAAACTACTGAATTTTTGTATTTTAAAAATACTAAAAATACTTTTACAAGGGAGCAGGAAATGTATTTGCATACCTTCCATCAATTGGCCTATTTCATCTATCCCTTCACCATTACACTGAGTCTGACTCAGTTGATTAAGTAAACAATGTTTGACAGCAACAGCTTTCCTCTGCCTCTGCAACCAGTTAACCCATCAAATATTCACATACCCCTGTGATCTCCCTGATGATAACCAACCATTTAATGTTTAACAGTTTGTGACTGACACAGAATTGTATCCTTGTTTAGTTACTTGGTGTTCGCTAATGAAGGGCCTAGTTTGCATGACCAATGACAAACAAGTAATTCATAAGAAGGCCACTGATGGCACCTGTATTCAAAGCAAATAGTTTCTAACTAATTAATCATTTGATTGTTAATTATAAATATAATAATATATTATACGTCAGGCAGTCATTCACACTTTATTATTATTATTTTACTTTATTATACTTAACATAAGCTGAAAGTAGCAAGCTATTAACTTTGGGGCTGCTGCTCGGTATAATAGTTTTCAAGAACGAATGAACACCAAAAACTTAACCTGAACTGTTGAAAAATAATAGCAATTTATTCAAAATTGATGGAAAGCTAGCACCCAACACGTTTCTTATATTGACCACCTTTCTTCAATATGGCTTTTCTGTTCTGATCTCAAATTTTCTGTTCTGATCTCAAAAGGTCTTTTAATTTTGTCAAGAATAAATAAGAATTTAAAATGTTAGAAAAATACATACCTACATCATTCTTGGTGCATTATCTTTTTTTTCTGCTCTGAACAGATAGCTTCGTTTGGAAGCCTTAGCCATATGTCAAGAAGCATATGTCATTATCTGCCACACAGCATGATGTCCAAAAAAGTTATTAAATAAATAATACAATTGTACATGACTCCACTAAAATTGTATCCACATTTATATGTGTATGTTATACAAATATGTTTACATTATATAGTGATATTCTACTTGAATAATAATTGAATAATTGAATAATTGAACAACTCAATCAGGTGTGTTTAGAAGCATTATTATGCCTTAGTTTTACAAAATGTGATTAACTATTTCTGTAATAAACCCCAAATGTAGCAATCAGGTAATGTTCCATGTTTGTTTATAGATATGCAAAAGGATATGACCCTGACAACTGGATTTCTATAAATCCGGACACTGCTGAGATCAAACTCAACAAGTTACCAGATCGTGAGTCTCCATATGTGGTAAATGGGACCTACTATGCCAAGATCCTCAGCATTACAAATGGTTAGTATGTACAAAGAGTCAGAACATTATGTTAGGATCCTTTACATTAGCAGTCAAATATTTTGATAAGCCTATTTTTCATTGTTATAGACAATTTAGAGTACAGTCACCACACTTTATTATGTGGTTCTTTTAAATATATTAAAAGAAGATTTAAGAAGGTTAATTGCAACACGTTTTGTGTTTGTTATACATTTTAGAGCCGCACCCTCAGACGTCTACGGGGACTATAGCCTTGCAGGTGGAGGACCTGAATGATAACTGCCCCAAACTCCTTGGTAATGTGCAGACTGTCTGCAGTGATACCAAAGTAGTGAATGTCACAGCAGAAGATAGTGATTCATATCCCAATGGAGCTCCACTGAAGTTCAATTTGATACAAGAGAAGACAAAAGGCAAATGGAACTTGCAGACAATAAATGGTAAAACCAAACAGAACTACCAACTAATCTCTGTTTTTCAATAATAATCTTATCAAACATATTCAGATATTCATGTAAATAGCTAATGTAATTTATAGCAACAGATGATGATTTTTCATAGTCGGGTCTCTAACTGTTTCTCACCTCTTTAGATGCAAGTGCTTCACTGCTCAGTCAAGAAGACTTATGGCCTGGCTTTTACCAAGTCACCATGGAGATCAGTGACATGCAAGGACTGGCCTGCCCCGACGAGCAAGTCCTCAATTTAGAAGTTTGTACCTGCTCTGAAGGCACGGTTTGCGGTGCAAAAATGGCAGCAGCAGCAGCAGGAGGACACACTACATCAGCCACTTTTGGAGCGCCAGGAATTACTTTCCTGTTTCTAGGATTCATCTGCCTCATCTGTGAGCATGGTCTACTACAATAATATAAAGTTTAGTTAACTGTAAAGTTGACAGGCTAAAATAGTCTGGATCAAATTATTTGTGGTTTATGTGTTTCTATATCTGTATTTTTTAGTGCTGCTCATGGTCGTAATAAAATGTGAATGTGGGAGTGCTGGAATAGGTTTTACTGACATCCCATTTGAAACAAAGCAACACATCATCTCCTATAGCATAGAGGGAATAGGTGAAGACAGGGTAAAACGAATCCCTTCATGATCTCGCACAGCTCATTATCATTATCTGAAGAAACAAGTTTTGTATTATGTGATAATTTTCATCTGTTTCTCTTCCAGGATGTTCCTCTGTTGAGAACCCAGCCAATCCACAACAATGGATGGGATGATAAAATAATAAAAACCCGAAAACCTTCAGGAATAGTGGAAGCTATGAACTATAAAACCCCAATGGATGAAATTCATGTCCAGCAATCAAACCAACTCTATAATGGTTCTAAAATGGTAGGGGCGATGCAGGAAGGTGCATTTGGAGGTTTTTACTGTGATACTGACGGAGCAGATAAGGAAAACTCTGCCAGTTGTCAAGGAGAGCATGATGTGGTGTTTGGTGTATTCCTAAAAGAATACTACACGCAAGTATGTTACTGTTGTTATTATTATTAGTGTTGTATAGAGGTCTTTTTAATACACAAAGGGGTAGTTTACCTACAAAAATGTAATTCTTTCACTCTCATGTTGCTCCAAAATGTGTATGACTTCTTTTTCTATGGAACACAAAAGAACATATTTTTTAAGAATGTTCAAACTGTTTCTTTCTGTATAATGAAAGTAAATGGAGTCCAGAAAAACACTGGATCCCATTGGCAAGATTTGGAGCAACAAGATAAGATGATTTTCATTTTTGGGTGAACTATGCCTTTCACACCTCATTCGATTACATTTGAAATGATATTTTCTTTTGCAGAAATCTAGGTTTTTAGAAAAGCATGCTTCTCCAGAGGAAATGTTGAAGAAGTTCGATTATGAGGGTGAAGGATCTGTTGCTGGTTCTTTTGACAACTGCAGCTTCAACGAGTCCAATGATGACCTGGAGTTCTTAAACAACAACCTGGGTTTTAAGTTCAACACCTTGGCTGAGGTTTGTGGATTTAGACAGACTCAATCTATGTCTCAGGCTGACCCACAGGTTATTGGAAGTTCTGTAGAGACAACACCAACCACAACTGAATTTACTGCAGTATCTTCCGATCACATGACTGACACTGTCCAACCCAGTACAACACCAACCACAACTGCATTTACAGCAGTATCTTCCGATCACATGACTGACACTGTCCAACCCAGTCCTGTGGAGATAACTGTCAAGTCCCCACTTGTCCAACCTACACCTAGTCATGGGATGGTCATACAGGAGCCTATGTACTTCAGGTTCGAGCAGCCAATGCAAAGCAATGTTTTTCTGTCTGAGGGTGGACATGGGCAAGGTTTTTACATAATTAATGGCACTCCAGAAGCTGACGTATTTCTGACTCAAGGTAATGGCCATGCACATTTAGGTAGTGGACAGCAGGGCATCATTGGTGATTCTGTCTTGTGTTCTCAAATTGGACATGTGGGATCGGTTGTATCTGGAGAGAGCGGGCAGGGTAGAGTAATTAGAGTCGGTAGTCTAGGTTCAAATCATCCCATGAGCCCTCAACCACTTTACCAAGTGAGTTCTCCAGAGTGGAGCAGGCCAGTACATATTAACCAAAGAGTAATTGATGGCTCCTTTTCCAGTGCACAGAATGATGGACAAGGGACAGTAACAATTCTAGAGAGTCTTGTCGATGGAGGTAATGTTTTAGTAGGAGACTCTGAAACTGTAGTAAGAATGCCTCAAATTGCAAATGGTCAAGTAAACGGCCAACGATTATTGAGTCCTCCTTTCTCAAATGCTCTGAATTTTGCATCAGGAGAAGGTGTAGTGAACAGACTATTGGTTGCTGGTCCTCCTATTGCAGAGGGACATGTCAATGGAGGTAACTTATTGGTTGCAGAACCAGGCCAGTATCCTGTGTCTATGAGTGCAGGTACTACAAGCCTAGTGAGCTTGCCTCACATTTCTACTGGACAGGTAAATAACAGTCAGCTATTAGTAAGTGGTCCCTTCTCGAGTGTTCAGAACATTGTATCAGGGGAAAGTGGACAGAGTAAACCATTGGTTAATGGTCCCATTCAGCATCCACTTGCCATGAGTCCAGGAGCACATAGTCCTGTAGGATTGCCTCAGGTAGCAAACAGACAGTTATTCCGCTCTGCAGTGTCCAGAGTTAAATCCATAAGATCCAAAGGACATGTAGCAAATGGGCACCTGAATGTTCAGGAGTGATAAATATGCAACTTTAAGACTATTCATTCTCACAGTGAAATTGCTCACAGAGAAACAGAAACTATTTTAGGCATCAGATGAATTAGGAATACTCAATATTAAAATTACAACATGTTGTTATGAGCAGTTTTGAGAAATCTTTTGTTTTTTTGCAGTGTGCTTTGAACATGATTAAAGGGCAATGATGTTAATAATGTTTTAAAACATGCCGCATTTTGCTTTACAAATAGATAAGGTATTTTACATAGTAGATTTTAATGGACATGTTAAGCACATTAGACATTTTATAAGGGAACTTGTAACTTGATTAACAATAAATAATTCGATAATTTATTATGTACCGTGGCCATTTATCATGTCTGATTATGTAACATTTAAATGTATAGTAAAGCTTTTATATTCATAAACTGAATACAGGTTTGACTCACTGGAATATGAATATGTATTTTGATTGATTTAAAATAGTTGATTATAATTAGTCACAAGTCAGTTCAGATAGGTTCAAGATTTCATAGCCTAATTGTTTCTGTGAACAGAAGGTAGCAGTCAAAGTTATGTCGTATGGAAATCATACTACAGATACTATTGTATTTTAAAATATTGTTTCTCTTGGGATTTTTGTTCTTGATCTTTGGTGAACCTACAGTATGACTGTGGTTTAATAGATTGTGATAAACAGTGAAGTTAAGTTGTTTTCAAGATTGCCATTGATTGTTTTTAAGCATGTTGTCGTGAGCATGTTAATAATGTATCTTATTTCTAAGTAGCTCCAAAAACACTTCCCTTAACCATGAATTCCAATCATTACCTCATGTTTAATGTAGCCTACATTATAATTATTCAAGTTTATTAGTGTAGCTTTTCACAATGCATATTGTTTCCTTTCATGAGTGTTTTGCATTGGATATGCATTTGGAAACTGTTACCTGTTTTATTGTTACTACTGCACCAATATAAAAGTAATTAATAAATAAATATACATTTATACACGTATGGCTAGAGTTACATTTTGTGATTCACACCATCTAGTGGCATGAAACGGTATTGATGTTTTTACCACACTGGTTGGGTTTTTCCTTTTTATCGATATTTTGCTTGGGGCAGACTGCATTTTGGTGAAAGGTGTAGCATGAACTTGTAGAACAGGTGAATTCTCAAACTTCTTAGAAGCCATCTGTTCCGTGCAACTGAAACCTGTTTAGACTTGTAAGCTACATTCACGAGTTCCTTTGCCCATATAATCTTTAAGATAATTAGGCTGAGCGTATTTGGCTTGTTGTCCGCAGTGGAGGGGCTCGAGGAAGCAGCTTCAACTCTAGCTTAGATTTACCCCCCAGTGGAACTACTAGTGCTTGGGTGATGAGCAAGATGCCTTAATTATGTTGGTGGAGTTGGGGAGGTGGAAGGATGGCAAAAGGTGAACAGCTGCGTATATGCTCCAGCAGTTAATTGAAAGATTAGATGGGTTCACTCCTCCTGAAATTACGTTGTGAACTTTACTTACTTTCAAATACTTCAAGCAAAATTTCAAGCAAATGTAATTTTCAAGCAAAATATTTCACAAAAAAAGTGGTCTGTCAGATTTCAAATGATAAAACAATGCTCAATACTAAAGTATTGTGACACTTGGTGATTTTTTTTTTTTTTTTTTTTTACATTTGTAGTTAATGTGAAGAACTACACTTGTGGTTATTCTGCTATGTAAACTTGAGGAGAAAAGACTTCATCCAGCCTTAAAAAAATCACCTTGCTTAAAAGTCTTACAAAACTGACTAAAAACAAGTTAGAAACATTTGGTTTGATATCTTGCTATGCCACAAAATTCCTTTTTTGGGAGACCATTTCATGTTTTACAACTTCATATTCAGCTGTCTCTCATTGTTACTGTATCTTTTTACAGCTTAAATCTGTTGTATTCGCTTCTTTCATACACAATGTGAACAAAAATGAAAGGTGGAGGAGAGAGGGCTCATCCACATCAGAAAACTCTCACATTTGGGTGTGCACAAGAGAAAGTTCTGTTTCAGATGCCCCACCCAAAAAGTGATCAGTAAAACCCCCCCACTTCCAACCCTCTCCTCAAATTATCTACACAAGCATAGCTCTGATCAACAGCGCAGGACTGAAAGAGAAGAAGGACTGGAGAAGATATGAGAAGAAAGGGCTGACCGCTAACATCTGATCAACAGCTGTCATGTCTCCCATTTGGCTTGGACGAATATGTTTGGTCCTGCTGCTATGCAGGATAGTGGTGAGTGACACTGAACCAACAAGGTGGTTTGGGATCAAATACATTGAATACACTCAATTTTTACTCATTAAACAAATTTAATTATTACAGATAATGTACTTTTGTTGTTTACATATGTGTATAGTATGTTAACAATACAAGTACATTATCTGTAAACAACAAACACGTGCTGCTCTTGATCATTTTAAAACAGATTTTCTTCACACAAAACAAAACAATATTTTTTTTTTTCAAAACTTCTGTATGAGATTATACCTTGTTAAATGGATAGATTTTGCCTGATTAGTCCTTAAAAAACAAGTCAAAGTAGTATATTGATATAATCCATAAAGTAGCATCATCATGGTAAAATGAAAAAAAAAAAAAAATCATAGTCAATAATAGCTGTGGCCTAATTGTCATCTTATCTGTTGTCAGGATGAGGTAACTGCCACTTATATCACAGTTAATGTAAAAAAAATGCCTTTGGAGAGCATAGACTCAAGTTTATACGTGTACTCTTTGCTACAGCAGCAGATTCTTACAATAGAAAGAGAGAGGTATTGCTGTCACCTCAGGAAGTACGTGTACTAGTTCAGTTTACTGTAAAGAGGACAGGTTTACAGTACACCGTGTATGTGTGTATGTAATATATACATAGCCTATATGTATGTGTGTATAATGTATTTTAGTTTATTTGATATATATGTGCTGCCATGGCCAGTAACTAATTCACAAAAGCATTTACATTTATGGAAAGATAAATGCTTTCATGGAATGCATCAATACATCATTATAGTCCATAATAGATTGTTCACACACTTAAAAATAGCATTTGGATCTGTTTTTATTAACATTAGTTGCCAACCATAAACATTAAAATAGTAGATGAAATCAGCATGACTTCAGATGAAATTGTCACTAAAACGTATAAAGAAAGATCTTCACTTGAATAGTGGGATTAGAGGTAGATATTCTTTATATTTAATGACCACACGATTTTAGTCTAGTGCAGATAAAAATAATACATTTTTTTTATTTATGTAAAAATAAATAATACTGAATGTATGGTAAACAATGTAATGCCAGTGCACTGGATGTGTACTTAAAGGAGTAGTTCACTTGCTGATAATTTACTCACCCCCATGTTATCCAAGATGTCCATATCTTTCCTTCTTCAGTCGAAAAGAAATTAAGGTTTTTAATAAAAAACATTCCAGGATTTTTCTCCATATAATGGACTTCAATGGGAACCAAACGTTTCAAGGTCCAAATGAGAGTTTCAGTGCAGCTTTAAAGTGCTTTAAATGACACCAGACGATGAATAAGGGTCTTATCAAGCTAAACGATTGGTCATTTAAAAAATAAAGTTTACGTTTTATAAGCACAAATGCTCACCTTGCTCTGTTCTGTGATGAGCGTTCATGACTCTCCTGTTCGAACTCGTTTATCAAAATGAACAAATCTTTTTTCGAGTCATGACTCGAAGGGTCCTAGATAAGACCCTCATTCATCGTCTGGTGTCGTTTAAAGCCCTTTGAAGCTGCACTGAAACTCTCATTTGGACCTTGAACCATTTGGTTCCCAATGAAGTCCATTATATGAAGAAAAATCCTGGAATGTTTTCATCAAAAACCTTCACTTCTTTTTAACTGAAGAAGGAAAAACGTGGACATCTTGGATTACATGGGGGTAAATTATCAGCAAAAGTTTTTTTTTTTTTTTTTTTTCAAAGTGAACTACTCCTTTAATGTCGTACATTTAAAAAAAAAAAATTCTAATATTTTAGGAATCAAGAGCCAACAGAAGATCTAATCGAAGGAAACGAGAGTGGATTCTTCCACCAACAAGACTGTATGAGAATGTTGACTACACAAAAGCGGAGTATGTGGCAAAAGTAAGCATTTTACATGTTCTTTTTTCTTCTTCTTTTTTTTTTCTGTACATAACCCAAAGACATATTTTACATATGCTTGCACTGAGTGGTGCTAATACCAGTCTTGTCTTGTTTGTGCTGAAAACCTTGAGATCTGGATCTACTGGTTCTTAAAGCTTTCAAACTGCCCTACATATCCCACTCAATATATTCTCCAAAACAAAAGCTGAAAGCATTTTTAAATTATGTATTTTATTTTTTTTTTTTTTTATTTGCATACAGGGGTGTCACCAGAACATACACCCCCGGTTTTACGGAACTTCACTCTTGTTGATGTTGTTGGTCGAAGTCGCGCAAAGCATTTTGCTTTTAACATTTTTTTTTCTTTCAATCACACATTTTAATACTCAATTTTCACAATCTTGATCTTTTTTTTTAGATCCGGTCTGATAAAGATATTAACTGGCAGATGGTTGAATATGGACTAACAGGTCATGGTGCTGACAAGCCACCATATAATTTGTTTGTAATCAATCCAGAGAATGGCTTTGTTACGGTCACCGGTCTGCTGGATAGAGAGAAAACATCCTTATACAACGTGAGTTTTTCCCCAGGTTTGGGTAATTCATGTCATTAAATAATGATTGACATAATGACTGCAATACAAGTCCTTAAAGGGATAGTTCACCCAAAAATGAAAATTCTATCATCGTTTACTCACCCTCAAGTTGTTCCAAACCTCTGTGTGTTTATTTGTTCTGCTAAACACAGAAGAAGATATTTGGAAGAATGTTTTAATCAAACAGATCTCAATCCCCATTGACTAGTCAACTTGAGGGTGATGAAAGAATTTTCATTTTTGGGTGAACTATCCCTTTAAAAAAAAACAAATATCTTTTCTTATTTTTCTCTATAGCTGACTGGCATAGCACGATTTCGTAACGGATCAATAGCTGAAGAAAACATTGAGCTGAAGATTAAAGTTGAGGATCAGAATGATAACTCACCCATATTCAAATTACAAAAGGGATCTGTGAAAGAAAGTAGCAAGATTGGTGAGTTGTGTTATTTTTGTTCCCACATTATTCTTTCTCTTTTCCCAATCAACTGTAGCTGTTTTCCAACCTTCTTAACAACACACAGCATAGTTATATAGACTCCCCTAAATACTTCACATGAATGTCACTATTTTGGTCAACTTTCTTATGACAATACAGGAACGCCTGTTACGCAGATAACAGCGACTGATGCGGACGAGCCAGGCACTATCAATTCCAAGATAGCATACAGTATAATAAAACAAACACCAGCAGAATCCAAATATATGTTCTCCATTGATAAAGCGACCGGGAAAGTCTATGTGAAAGAGAAAACCCTGGATCGAGAGGTAACTGATATGAAAACTGACACTGTATAAGATTGAAACTGCACGGTCATTTAAATTCAGGTTTTTGGCTAATTTCTTTTACAGAGACACGACACATATACTTTAATAGTTCAGGGAGTTGATATGAATGGAGCTCCATCTGGCAACACAGGAACAGGCACTGTGCAAATTCATATTTTGGACATAAACGACAATGTTCCCACTCTTGAGAAAGAACATGTAAGATCTTAAAACATGCTTGCATGCAAGCAATTGCACCTAAATGTTTTTTTTTGTTTTTTTTTTTATAGTATCAGTCAGTGTCTTTCCTCTGTTAGTATTCAGGCAGTGTTGATGAAGGTGTGACAGATGTGGTTGTCATGAGAATTAAAGCCCTGGACAAGGATCTGAAATTCACTGATAACTGGCTGGCAGTGTTTGATATTAATAAAGGAAATGAAGACGATCTCTTCACTATTGAGACAGACCCTAAAACGAATGAGGGAATTCTAAAACTTGTCAAGGTAAATAATTTTTCTTTACTTTTCATATTATATTTGTTGAGGGGTCAATGACTTGACACGTGTTGTTTTTTTTTGTTTTTTGTTTTTTTTGTGTTAGCTCTTAATTCAATCAGAAATACATTACAAATGCAATCCACACATTACGTCAAGACACCTCTTCAAATAAGAATGTTTTTAATTATTTTTTTATTATTATGTTAAAAAGTGTCAGGGTGGTAAAACTGTCCTGATATCATAATGAAGAAGAAGAAAAAAAATCGTGTTCGTGTCTAAGTTTATATATATAATCTAAGTCTATATAAGTTACCATCACATTTCTGAGGAAAATATGTCATTACATTTTCTTGATGGTTATAACACGTCATTTTCAGAGTCATTAAATTGAACCTTTTCTTCAGATTTGTGTATTTTTCAGTTTTTTGAGAACTTGGCACATGCATTTTAGATTTTAAAAAGATTATGTTTCCTGTATGTTTTTCCACATATATTATTCATATCTCTTTTTTTCTCTTTTCCATGTCTGAAGCCTGTTGATTTTGAAAAGATCAAAGCATTGGACCTCAGCTTGGTTATATCAAATGTTGCCCCTTTTATAAATGGAAGTGCTTTAGAGCTGGACGTTAATCTGGACAGGGATGGAGTAGGGCCTGGAGCGGGCATGGGAGCAGGGGCCGGGATGGGAACAGGATTGGGAGTGGGGTTAGGAGTAGGGTTAGATGTGGGAGTGGATGCTGGACTGGATGCTGGACTGGATGCAGGACTGGATGCAGGACTGGATGCAGGACTGGATTTGGGTGCTGGACTGGATGCTGGATTGGGTCTGGGTGCTGGAGTGGATGCAGGTGGTAATACTGGACTTAAACCTGATGGTAAGCCTGGAGCCAAACCTGGCCCCTCACCTGGTGTTAAACCTGGGTCTAAACCAGGAACAAAACCTGGCACTAAACCTTCAGGCAAACCTGGATCTGAGCCTGTTAAAAAACCAGCTGGGAAAGGTTACCCAGTTAAGATCAGTGTAAACAACCTACCCGATGGCCCTATCTTCTCACCTTCTTTAAAAGACTTTCCAGTGTCAGAAGATACAGATAATGAAGATTTCCCAATAGTGCTGGGCACCTTCGCTGCTTTGGATGGCGATACTGGAGAACCAGCTGAAAATGTGAGGTGAGCTCTGATAGCAAGTTCACAAAGTAATGACTTGTATTATAAAGTGCACAGCTTGTTTTATTAATATTAATTATATTATTGTTTCCATTAACTTTTTAATATTACATTATAGTCATTGATTAGATTTTAAAATAATGATATAGAATATCGATTTATATCATTATTATTATTGATGCACATTATCAAATGCAGTATCGTTGTTCTGTTTTGGGGGGCCTAATGATCTTTGATCCACTATGTTCATCTCATTGTTTTGATACCCAGGTATGCTAAAGGTCATGATCCCGATAACTGGTTAACCATTGATGAGGAAACTGCCGAGATTAAACTGACGAAGGTTCCTGATCGAGAATCAAAGTTTTTGGTAAATGGAACCTACTTGGCAAAGATTATCTGCATGACTCAAGGCAAGCATCTTTTTTTCATAGGTTATTTTCGTAGGTAATTTTTTCAAAGAGTTGCCGGCTACTGAGGTCGAAAAAGCTGAAATGATTTTGACCTCCAACCTTGCCAGAAAGCCAAGTATTCATGTTCAAAAAAAGCACAGAACCTGTTAAACTACTTTCGAAAGAATGTCAGAAAGTGTTCGGACTGCAAGTCCAGAATGGGGGGTTTTGTAATACACAGAAGGCTGTTAAATGGGTATTTTTCTTACAACATTTTTAGACGTGCCATCTAAGACAGCTACTGGGACAATAGCATTAAAAGTGGAGGACTCAAATGACCACTGCCCCACACTGACCAGCACCCATCATCAAACTTGCGAAAATAATAAAGTGATAAATGTCACGGCTTTCGATGAGGACGCTGATCCAAACGGTGCACCTTACCAGTTCGTTCTGATAGAAGAGGAGAGCATGGGAAAATGGGAGATGGTGCCTATAAACGGTAAAGACAAAAGTTGCTTAAAATATGCTAGACTAGACAAACTCGAATGCAGTTTATATGAGTTACCAGAGTGTAATTCTCTCTTATTTGTAGGAACAACTATGAGCTTTCAAGCACAGGAGGCTTTGTGGAAAGGCATCTATGAGCTGACAGTGAAGATCTCTGATGCTCAGGGTCTGTCCTGTCCAGACAACCAAAAGTTTGAGGTCGAAGTGTGCACCTGTGATAAAAAGGGCTCATGTGGGCCGAGGCTAGCCGCACAACGTGGTTTCCCGTTAAAAATAGGAGCACCAGCCATTGGCTTGTTCCTCAGCGGCGCAGCTTTGCTCCTGTGTGAGTTATTCGTGGAGTGTGCGCAACACATTTGTACAGCTTGTCATGCTTATAGAGATTATAATACAAACTTTGTGTTGCTTGCATTTTCAGTGGTACCTTTCTTACTGATCTTCTGTCAGTGTGGGTCCGTGAGCAAGTTCACAGATTTGCCCTTTGACGCTAAAGAATATCTTATTTCATATCACACTGAAGGCATAGGGGAGGACAAGGTAAGAAAAAGAAATTAACTTGATGCAAATGTAAAATTAGAACTTGAGTTTGTCATAAAACAAACTTTACAACATGTGGACATGATTTTGTATATAGGAGGTTCCTCTTCTCAACAGCCCTGTTGCTACAATAGACGAAAAACAACTGATCCAGGATGTCAAGGTTTCCAACACAGTATCCACAATGGCCTTTCAAGCTGGTGTTGGTAATGCCAGCAGAATGTTCAACCATGAAATAAACGATAGGTTTACAGAAGCTGACAGCAGGTTTGGGTACCGGAAAAACACCCTTTCAAAGGCCAAACAGCGCAACAGTGTTCTCTATTCTGCATCATTCGTACATGAAAAACAGGACATTTATCAGGATATGGCAGTGGGAGATGAGTTCCTGAATGAATACTACTCTCAGGTATGAGGTTATATCTGTTTCTAGCATCATATTCAAATTTAAATGAATGTAATAACAATTGTGATCATGTTTTTGCTGCATATTGTTTGTATGACTATTCTGGGGAAAATAAGTGATTTTATTAAAGAATAGCTTGACAAATTCTTTTAACATAAATGCATGACCGAATCATACTTTTGAGTAAAACCCCCTTTCAATTAATCAGTTGATCCAATTGACCAAGCAAGTCAGAAAATGATTAAGGCTGCGTCTCATTTCTCCATCTTACCCCTTACTCTTACCCCTTCCCCTCGGTTTTGCGCGTTCATGTGAGGGGAAGTGGTGTCCCAATTCTCATTTTGATTAAGGGCTAGGGCCAAGGCGTAGGGCTACATAGCCCTTGAAATTAAGTTTACTGAGGACCACACTTGAAACAGAGGGGTAACAAAGACCCCATTTACACCTGGTATTAAAATGCGATCTGTATCCAGATAAGTTATCCGGATAATAAAAAACGCATGTTAATGCAAGGTGTAAATGCGTTGTGATCGGATCGCGATCGGATCTGCCTGACCACATCTAGAGGTAGTCTGGCTCGCATTGTGTCCGGATCTTTACTAGGTGTACACGCAATCTGGTTGTTGAAACCACATATGTATATTTTACTCCTCCCAAAAAGGCAAAAAATAAACGAGTGAGCTTGTTATATAGGCTATAAGTCATGTTATAGTCAGATATGACGGCGCTACTGCGACACACATCACCCATCACCACAGATGAGCAGCTGAGCGTCTATTCATCGAGCCAACGTGCAAACATCGCAAATAAAAGTGAAAGTAAGTCACAGACGCTTAACACACAATCATCTTCAAGTAAATATAAATAAACGAAATTATCTTACCAGCGCTGTTGCCACTCTTTTATTGATGTCTTTGATTTGGAAATTAGCTGATGATCAACGAAATGCAGCTCAAATCTGTTGCTTTTGGTGGCGTGCAATCCATTAAATCTGCATACGCGGGAGTTTAAGATCGGATTCATATCCGTTTTGCAAAAACACATTTATGTGGCCAGGTGTAAATGGATTCGGTACTTATTATCCGGATAACTTATCTGGATACAGATCGCATTTTAATACCAGGTGTAAATGGGGTCAAAAGTGCCCGCATCAAGCTTTTTATTATGGCTGAACGTCAAACTGTTAAGCAGTCGCACAAATGTAAGTATTACGAAACTCGAGTTTTCTGATACTTTTAATAAAATTCTGAATAAAATGTTGTTCAAGCGGTTTTAATTGTAATATTTTTGTTTCGAAACAGTAGTAAACCGCTAGCAGCTATGCGCTATTTGTCGAGTTGAGCTATCTGATAATCCTTGATATGACACTTCATATTATTTTATTAACTTTGCGTCGCCGTTAAATACAATGAAACAGCAGTTGTATGCGTCTGAGAAACAATTTTCTTCGGATGCCACCCAAGCGTGCAAAGAGAGAGCCCAGACAATTAATAACACAATATGAGACGACGGCATCTTCGTTTGTTTACCTGTATGTCAAAGCTTGTCGCCTCTATCGCGGCAAGGGAAGATGACACAAACGGTAATCGAGTGGCATCTCATTTCACCCCTACCCCTTTTCACTCGGTATCGAGGGGCAAGGGGAAGACGCAGACAAAGGGGTAGGGGAAGGGGTAAGACAGAGAAATGAGATTGGCCCTAATTCTTAGTTGACTTTAAGTCAACTCACTGAATCAGTGATTTCATGGCAGCATTTGGCTTGGAAGGTTATCTATATTCATCGCACAAATCGGTCACGTGACTTTGACTTGGAATACAAGTTATTTTGACCATTTTTGAGCAACGTTTATAGTGCTTTTGCAATCATTTGCAGTTTAACACCACAAGCCTCATTTATTTAAATTATATTGAAAAAAGTGGCCAAGATATTCTTCAAACATTAACTTTTTGTGTTCAATGAAAAAAAAAAAAAAGTTCTACAGGTTTGGAATGACATATAGGTAAATACATGATGCCAGAATTTTCTTTTCTTTACTGCAGAAAGCAAGCTGTGCTGCTGCAAACGCTCCCCTGACAGACGGTCTTCTGGAGTACGAGTACGAGGGTCAAGGCACCCCTGCTGGCTCTGTTGGATGTTGCAGCCTCGAGTCTGACGATGACCTGGAGTTCCTTAACAATCTGGGGTCAAAGTTCCTTACATTAGCGGAGATATGCCATCCTCCAAAGCCTTGCCTACCCCCTCCGAATACTGAGCAAGTAGTCAAATCAGATGAAACCAGCTACAAAAGCGAGAGCTCTGTCAGCACTAGCACCATCCAGGTTACCAAAAAGACTCAACCTCCACAACAGGTACAACAAAGCTACGTTACCAAATTTGAGACGGTTAATAAATCAGCCACGCTTCCAAGTGCCAAAGCAAGCCATACACTATTCGTGCAACAGCAGCCTGTATTCTACCTGGTGGAGCAGCAAATGCCAAACACAGTTTTTGTTGAGAGTCCCACTCAGAGTTTGTACGTAATCGATGGCAACCCTGGGATGGAAGGTTTGATGCCCCAAGGCAGAAACGATTCACAGGCGACTCTGAGCCGAGGACAGCAGGCAATGTACGTGATAAATGGAGCGCCTGTAACGGATGTACAGGAACATGAGGCAGTGCTGGGATTTAGCCCCGTCTCATCTACCATCGGAGCGCCTGGAGGTGTACTGCTAATGCAGACCCATTTTCATGAGAAAGCAGAGCAAAGGGAAACCGGAAGAGCAGCATTGTTGCTTGCTGATGTTCCAGCCCTGGCCAAAAAACATAATAAGAAAACACCAGCTGAGCCGCTAGGTATTAAAGTAGTGGAGGCCAAACTAAAAGATCCTGCGTCATCTAAATAGATATAAGGGACATCCAATAAGACAAGCATCTATGACAGAGTCCAAAATTAAGCCCCATTCGAGAAAAATTGGTCGATAGATAGATAGATCACTTAGATCAAATCACATTTGATCCTGAAGCAAAAGGCTGCTTCTTACTCAGAGAAAATGTAACTCACTTTCACTCACTGAAAGATCATTTCTTGCACTGTTCAGTCTGTCCGAGAGAAGGGTGTGTCTATGCAGAGACCATCTGGACATTTGGCCCTGAGGTTCATCGGCATTCACATTGACACACGTGCATGTGGCCAGATGTTCTGACAGCTGATGGAGGAATCGTTTGAGGGACAGTGAACAGTAAAGAACACTATGTGTGTGAGCTAAGTGTTACAGATAGAGAAGAAACTGTACAATAAGTACATAGGAAAAGTAAGAAATCCTCAACACAATTTTAACACAAGCTCACCCATGATGTGAGGGTTTGAAATTTGACTTTCCCAGATGACAAAAAATATGTTCTAAGAATGTTTTGCTAACATTTTTCATGAAGTTGCTGTGCTCTGAATGTTTAAATTTAAATAAAAAAAGCAAACAAACAAACAAACAAATATTCTTGGTTTTGCAAACATTAAGGAAATGTTCAATTTGATTATTCTTCAAATATTATGGGAACATAACTTTTGAATGTTCTCTATAATTTTTTTTTACTATAAACAAAATAGCAAAGGTCCAAAGATTTTTGGTAAGACTAAAGGTGGTGGTAACTAACAGCGGGAAAATACTAAACTTTCTCTTTTTTATCAACTTCCAAAATGTATGCTTGTACAAAGTGACTGCTCTGTTTTCTCTTTAATTTTATACTAATAATAGTAGTGATTCTGTTGATTATCCAGTGCATGGATTGTCTTTTATTATTGGAGTTTCCAACAATAGTCTTTAATAAAGTCCTTTAATGCTCCAGCTCCGTTGAGTCTTGTTTTTCAAGTGTTACTGCTGTGAGTCATGTGTTGTTAGCTTGCAGCATTCCCGTTACGCCCGAGGAGCTTTTTCAAAAGCAAATATTTATTTTTTCTCTTTTCACACTACCTGCTGAAACCTGCCTAACCAACAGTTTTCAAATGCAGTCATTTACCTGCAGCATTTAACACGAGTCCTCATGACACAGGGTACGAGCTGAAGAATGAAAATGACAACTTTCAGCAAACATTAGACGTTGTCACTTATGATTTAAGACTAGGCCTACCCAGCATGCTTTGTCTAGTTCAAACTGGATCATGTGAATCACAATGATCAGAGCATGCCTGACAGTTGCAACTATAATGTTCATGTGGTCTCATTTATATCAGAAAGTATTGAGAAAAATTTAGCCAGCCCAGAAGCATCCTGTCCTTTCAAAGTTGGCATTTATTCCTGACAAAAACACTTTAACTTAAATGACTTTCTAAAAATATATTGAAAAAAAAAAAGTTTACCTTTTAAAATGAATAGTCTATGTATCTTGTTCTGCTTTGAAACAATCTGTATTGTATTGAGAGCTATAGAAATAAAAAAAAAAAACAACACTGGAAAATAAATTGCTTTGCCTTATTGGTCCTCATGTTGCTGTGGAAAGTCTTATTCGTCCTAGTGAACTGATTAAATAATGTTCCTCTCTCTCATGTTGAGTTAGAAAGTTCAGTTCATTCAAGTGAAAGGATTCATTTTAAACAGTGGTCTGATCCATTTGTAGCACACATATTGTTCACAGATTGAAGCAGCACTATGTAGCTTTTTTCAACCTTTATAATATTTTTCCAAAACACTTGAGATGGTACATCAACTTACAACAGGTTGAATGACAGATCTGCAATAGCCTGACAGTGTCTGTATCGCTTGGCACTCTGTAACTTTGGGGAACGGGTAGGAACCCGAGCACAAAAAGAACTACAAAATTTGACTGCTTTACGGCATACGTCACTTCCCCCACTTCCTCAAATTCCGGCGCGAGAGCCCAACGAGCGTTTTTTTGTTTTGTTTTACCTCTGTATGTTGTCATGGCTGAAGCAGCGAGTAAAAACAAATGTTAAACGCACGCGCGATCAGTTTATTGTTGGTAATGTGTTGAGTAGCTTCGCCCCTCGCCGCATCCAATGTAGACTGCATTGCTTTCTTTGGAGGGCGCTTAACACAATCAAGCATCCCCGTAGAGCCGGGGCGGGCAGCTCGAGACGTGAAAGTACATATACTCAATACTAAGTTTGGTAGGGGCTACATTCTAGCAAGTAAATAATACATGATTAGACGGACAAAATAATCAGTCAGGATAACTATCCTATGTCTGCAGGCTGATAGTCATGTTTGTTATTTTTCTACTGAACATGTCTTGCCTCAGGCTATTATGCAATTTTTTGGTAGCTTGATATTATAATATTGATGACATGGCTATCCATTATGTAAAACAGCAGCCAATAGGCTAACGTTACTATAAAGACGCTGGATTCTACATGATCTTTTGACGTTTAAAAAAAAAAATAAAGCCCAAGAAACTAATATTCATATGGCATGCTGAAATATATGCCAATGTACCTGGGATGAAGACAACGCTGGCAGTCTGCCCAAGATGCGAGAACTCCTTCCTTCTGAAGAGTTCGGGGGTATCGCTTGTCAACAAATGCACGCATGTATGGGTATTCCCTGGTGTAACAATGACAGATTTTACGACAGTAGTAGAACACAACACTGTTTCCCAACTGTAGGGAGACCCCGAGAGCAAAATTTCAAAAGTAACATAATGCTGCTTTAAACTCTCTGCACATTCTATCGACTTGATGAAATGTCGATGTATTTGTTGTGTTTAGTATAAATTTACATGTTTAAGTTTGGTATTGGTATAAGCAGCTGCCTAACTCACTGACAAAAATAATATATTACCATATCCAAATTTTTTTCAGTGCAGTCAAAGTTGCACTTTCTGTGCATGAGACCAACAAGCCTTTCCTTTTCCTTGCTGTGCCTGGTTTTGTTTAAAAGAACAATGAGATTGACTTCTGTCTCACCCAACTACGGGCCAGTTGTGAATTTGTTATGAATCTGCTCACAAGCAAAGGAATTCTGCGGTGCTCCACTTATATGCGATTCAATGCCTTGAGCAAAACAGCTAATCTTATGAAAATATGTGAAAAACAAGTGTGCACTCGTCTTTCAAGGGGTATCTGTACACTTTTCTTTGAAATATCAATACACCGCGTTCCAAATTATTATGCAAATGATATTTTACACTGATTTTCCTAAATAGTCAATGCAAATGACAGTCAGTATAATTTTCCAGTCACCAACCACTAGGGTATAAGTTGAATTTCATAGAACAAAACACCCAACGAAAACAGTATTTTTTGAAAAAATAAAAAACTCAAAATGCACTGTTCCAAATTATTATGCACAAAAGAGTTTGAAAACATTTTATTGGTTGTAAAGAACTGAAAATGGTAATATGATGAATTTGCAGCATTAGGAGGTCAAATTTAATGAAATCAAAAGCTATTTCAATCAAACTCATCTTAACAGGGCAAGTTACATGTTAACCTTGGACCCCTCCTTTGATATGACCTTCACAATTCCTGTATCCATTGAAGTTGGGAGTTTATGGAGATTTCTGCTTGAAAATCTTTTCACGATGTCAGAATAGCCTTCCAGAGGTCTTTTGCTTGAGGATGCTCCAAAGGTTCTCAATAGGGTTGAGGTCAGTGTGGGGGCCACTCCAAGAGTTTATCTCCTTTTTTGCCCATAGCAGCCAATAACACAGAATTATTTTTTGCTGCATGAGATGGTGCATTGTCATGAATGACAATAATTTTGCTACGGAAGGCATGGTTCTTCTTTTGTACCATGGAAGAAAGTGAGAAGAAGAAAGTCAGAAACTCTGGATGCATTGCAGAGGGCATTTTCACACCTTCAGGGACGCTAAAGGGACCTACCAGCTCTCTCCCCATGATTCCGACCCAAAACATGACTCCGCCTCCTCCTTGCTGACGTCGCAGCCTTATTGGGACATGGTGGCCATCCACCAACCATCCACTACTCCATCCATCTGCGCCATCCAGGGTTGCACGGCACTCATCAGTAAGCAAGACTATTTAAAAATTAGTCTTCATGTATTTCTGGGCCCACTGCAACGTTTCGGCTTGTAAGCATTGGTTAGGGGTGGCAGAATAGTAGGTTTATGTACAACTGCAAGCCCTGGAGGATCCTACACCTTGAGGTTTGCGGGACTCCAGAGGCCCCAGCATCTTCAAATACCTGTTTGCTGCTTTGTAATGGCATTATAGCAGTGCTCTCCTAAATCCGATGCATTTGTCTGGCAGTAACCTTCCTCATTATGCCTTTTTCTGTACAAACCCATCTGTACTCTGAATCAGCCACAAATCTCTTCACAGTACATTGATCATGCTTACATTTTCGTGAACTATCTAAAGTTTTCATACCTTGTCCAAGGCACTGCACTATTTAACTCTTTTCCGCAAGGAAGAGATCCTTTTTCTTTCCCATATTGCTTGAAACCTGTGGCCTGCTTAATAATGTGGAACATCCTTCTTAAGTAGTTTTCCTTTAATTGGGCTCACCTTGCAAACTACTTATCACAGGTGTCTGAGATTTTTTTCCGTGATCCAAAGAACTTGGAGACACAATACTATCCATGAGTTTGATTATAAAACTAAATATTAAATTTTTATGACACTTATTTCCAATTTGCATAATAATTTGGAACGCGGTGTAATAGCTCAGACCTTCAAATTTGTGCTGCTCAGAAATATTTCACCAGAGAGTCTGAACTAAGGTCCTTAGAAAGTAAACAGACAATGATCAGATCGCATATATAATGAAGGAACTTTGGGAATCAGCATTCATGAAATGCAAAAATTCCATGAACTGTGACGTTTAATAGATATGGGCTCATGCCCTTGATTGTTTCCACTGGATTAACCAAAATTGTATGGAGTTACTCATTCCCCTGTTTATTTACTGTGTCAACAGGGTGCCTCAAACACCCCCTCGGATCACCTGATGACAGGGTCAGCAACTGTATAAAGGTTATTTTGGGTGTTATCTCACAGTGGTGCTCCAACATGGCTAAAGCAGTGATTTGTGTGCTTCTCCCATTTCTTGTAGCCTTCTGTAGATGTGCTCCAGTGGTAAGTTCAATTGCTTATGCCTATGGAATAGAGCTAACACAGGAACTGGCACCTTTTTTAGCACTCAAATAACATTTTAGTATCATTAAATTGACCAGTTCAATGCTAAGAGAAAGTGAAATTGTATGCCGTCTTAGATATGTTGTATGTCACATATATCATATCTTATATGGAGTTCTAACCCTAACTCTTAATTTGAATTTCGCACCAAGAAAAAAAGTGTTGGAAATATTTTTTGTTTGCATTTCTTATCTTCTTATGACGTTAGTAACCACACTCAGTGTATTTTTTTTTCAACACATCCCATAATTTTTTAAATATCAGCCTTTACCAAATGGTTGAGATGTCACTTAATGGTAATAAATGGTACCGGAATTCATACACATACGTTGCCATACTTTTTCATTGCCCATCATAATTTATGATCAAAACCTTTTCTTCAAAACACATTGTCAGAAAGGTCTGAGTCTCAAGGTTCCATATTTCGTTACAGAAGTGATATTTGGACAGAAATGTATTAATTTGTTACAGCAGAATGCATTAAATTCAAAGGAATTTATGTCATTTTTGGTATTACGCCTAAACAAAATCTCATGAGAACTTCAATTTTTGTGATATCAACTTCAAATTTGGAACACAACTTGGTTAGATATATGGCTTTGATTTTATAGTAATTTTAGAGGAAAAAATATTTAGTAAACTATATATTTTATATAAAATAAAATAAATATATAGTATAGTATATTTGGTTTAATGTAAATTTAATACTTTCATAACTTTTCATACTTTTATT